TGATGGGAGGGGGGATGGGGCCGGGTATGGGCGGGGGGAGGGGGGGAGGTGTGGGCGGGGGAACGGGGGGTGGTATGGGCGGAGCAGGAGGCATGGGGATGGGGGGAATGGTGCCTTGTAATGCCCCTCGACCGAACGCGCCCCATCCCTATAATCACCACCCTCAGCAAATGCAGCAGCAGCAGTTGTACCAGCAGCAGCAGTACCAGCAGCAGTCGCAGCAGCAGCAGGGGGGTCCCATGAAGGCACCACAGCAGGAGCAGGATCCGGAGGGGCCGCCTACTCTAGTCCTCCCTCCCTTCTTCCGCACTCGCAGCGTCCCCGAGCGAGAGCTCTACCCCAATCTCCCGAACCACATGCCGAACCACATGCCGAACCAGATGCCGAACCAGATGCCGCAACCGCCCAATCATGCTGCCTTTGCTAACGCTGCTGGGGCAGGCATGGGAGGAGGCATGAACTACCCCCAGTCCCCCACCCCTGACTTCTGCAGTCCCACAGTGCCTCCCGAGCTTCAGTGGGATGGCGTGAACCCTCAGGGAATCGCCTCTCAGCAACAACAGCAGCTGCAGCAGCAAGGGCAGAAGCCGCAGCGGCAGCACCGGCTTTCTCAGTCTCAGCAGCAACAACAGCAGCAGGGAGGGGGGTTGGCGCCCCTGCGTCGAGTTCACACCGGCATGCCTTCCCAGCCCGCCCCCCTCCCTCCCACCGCCGCCCTGCCTCTCCGCCGCTCCGTCTCCGGCTCAACCACTCGCACTCACGCCCACACCGCTGCCAACCCCTCTGCACCTTCAGGCATAGCAGCATCCGCAGTTGCAGCAGCAGCAGCAGCAGCAGCGGCAGGTGCTGGGCGTAGTCCTGTGTCTGCATCATCCCGAGGAGAGTTGGAGGGCGCTCCTGCTGAGACGTTTGGGGATCTCTACCCATCTGCTGCTGGTGCTGCGGGCGGCGGCGGAGGCTCGTCTGCTTCTAGACCAACCTCTGCTGCCTCCTCTGTTGCCTCCCCTGCTCGTGCTCCTCCCCTCAGCTGCAGCAGCAACAGCAGCAGCGTGGCTTCTCCCGGTATTCCAGGCAATCCCGCAGCAGGAGCAGGAGCAGGAGCAGCAGCAGGAACAGCAGGGAGTCCGTTCCGCAAGCCCTTCCCGACCCTGCCTGCGCTCCAGATTCCGTTCAATTCTGCAGACAGTCCCCGCGCGCCTCCCCCTGCCGTGCACCCGTCCATGCTCTCCCCTGCGAGTTTGGAGGCAGCCATCAAGGGCAAAGGTGGAGCCATTCCCCCTGGGGGTATAACAATTTCCCCAGGGGGAGGGCTGGGGGGAGCAGGAGGGGGAGGGGGAGGGGGAGGGGGAGGGGGAGGGGGAGGGGGGATGGCTGGGAGTTCAGGGGAGAAGGGTGGGAAGGTGCGAGAGCCAAGTAAGAAGGTGAAGAAGGTGCAGCCAGGGGAGGAGAAGGGCAGGTCTGTGCTGGGGCAGGCAGCTACAGCAGGAGGAGGAGGGGAGGGAAGAGGAGGAGAGGGAAGGGGGGTTGAGGGAAGAGGAGGTGCCACAAAGGTTGTTGCTTCCAGGTCTTTGGAGGGTGAGGGTGGCGGTGGTGGTGGTGGTGCGAGTGGAGGGAAGATGCGAGGGATTAGAAAGAGCCAGACCACCAAGCAGTAATGCGCGGCCTTCTGACTTAAACCAACCCACCAGCCTGTTAAGGCTGCGCTGCTCTACTGGAAGAAAGGCACTCCGCCTAGCATGAATTACGACCGCATTTCCTCTCCTATGATCCCCACTGCCCCCACTCACACTGACAGCCCAGCCCAATATAACCCTATGAGCACATGCGAGGTGACATTTGAGACAACTCACAGTTCACCGTGCAATCCCATGCTTGCTCATATCGCTCCTTCCCACCGACCCACCCACTGACAGGCTACCATAACCTTCTGACCACCAGCTGTCCTCAGACCACAATATTACGACTTGTCATTTCCTGCTACTCACCTGACACTTTGCTATTTTCAACCCCACTATCTGCATGCACCCCCCTCAACCTGCCTAACCCGTGCCTGTACTGTTGTCTTTCTCGTTTCTATTGTGCCTATTTATTCTCCATGTGTCTTTATGCTCCTCTGAATTCGTTTCTGGAACTCCTGTGGTGTGGGGTCAGCTTTGACCCTGGGTCGCATGGCTCGTCTCAAGCAAGTGCTTCCATGCGAGGATCCTTGACTGCCTGTAGTTTGCTGATGTCGTACTTGGTACGGTAACTGTTGCATGTAAACCACTGTGATGATAAGTCTCAGACCTTTCCTTCAGTGTTCCAGTGAATCCTGTAATGCAGCTCCTGGGGAGCAGGTTGTGAGAATGTTCCAGGTCACCTTGCATTGCAATATCCTGCACATGAAAGCATACTTTAGCAGCAGCACAAGTTGCAACGTAGTACGGTAACTGGAAATATTGAAGCAAGGAATAACTGGGCCAAGCAGCTGTGCCAATATATCCAGCCAAGGAGTCATGTCCTGTGTCTAGCTAACCAGCCATCCACCATCCTGTACTCTCGTGAACCCTGTGCTGCTGCAATATGTGCGAGTTTGATCATTATAATGACGTGCATTCCTGGCACAAGGAAGATTACAAGCTGCTGTAAATCCTCAAAGCTGTGAATATGGTAATTTCATAACATTAGAAAAAGACGGCTCCGCCACTCTGTTAGGTGCATCAGATGGAAACATGTAAGGCGGGGGAGGGGGAAGGAAGGGGGGGGAAGGAAGGGGGGGGAAGGAAGGGGGGGGAAGGACGGGGAAGGGTGGGGGGTTCAGTCAGAGGGTGGTAACGGTAACCAGGACAAAAGGAAACAAAAGGGAAAGAACACCACGGAAATTAATGGGGTTGCTTATCTTAATAATACAGATGGTGGAGATATCTTGCAATGGATGACCTGAACGGACAACATGACTTATCATTCTCAGGTGCCTTGCCATTATCAGGTCAAAGTCTTGCCATTACCAGGCCAATGTCTTAGCATAATCAGGTCATGCCTAACCATTATTAGGTCAATATCTTGCCATTATCAGGTCAATGTCTCGCCATTACCAGGTCAATGTCTTACCATTATCAGGTCAATGTCTTACCATTATCAGGTCAATGTCTTGCCTCATGCCTAACCATTATCAGGTCAATGTCTCACCATTATCAGGTCAATGTCTTACCATTATCAGGCCAATGTCTCACCATTATCAGGTCAATGTCTTACCATTATCAGGACAATGTCTCACCATTATCAGGTCAATGTCTTGCCTCATGCCTAACCATAATCAGGTCAATATCTTACCATTATCAGGTCGATGTCTTACCATTATCAGGTCAACGTCTTACCATTATCAGGTCAACGTCTTACCATTATCAGGTCAATCTCTTCGTCTGTCATAGGCTTCCGTCGAGGTTGCAAACTTGCTGCTAGAGGCCCCGGTTTCTTAGGATTCGTCTTCGGTACGGCACTCACACCAAAGCTGGAAACCGCTATGGATTCTATTACCGGAGCTGCTTGTGAGGAGGATGAAGAAGAGCTGGCAACGGGAGCGGAATATTTGTGTGACGTGGCTGGTGTTGGCGGTTTTGAGGATGCTCCTGCTGGTGCTTGTGCTGGTGCTGATGTAAATTGTTGAGGCGAAGGGGTATTTTTATGGGACGTTTGTGCAGCTGCTGGTGTTGGAGCTGAGACTGAAGGCAGGAAATGGACACGTTGAAGGAAAGGAGGACATCAATCAGCATGAACGCAATGGGGAGACGGTACGGGAAGGAAATGGCGAAAGCAGGATGATGCTGAGCATGGCGAAAGCAAGGTGTCGGCGCAACAATACGACGCTCACCTCGAGACCGGATTGGGAACTTGATCATTGGAATGCGTTTTGCCATGGTGACAAGGTTGCGAAAAAAGTAACCTACAGATGGCTGAGTTGTTATGCTGGCAGCTAACGAACTAAGCTCAGAATATGCTTGGCACGTCAGATAGAGCGCGAAACAAGAGCGTGATGAAGGCCTACGTAGAGCACATTCTACGTCAACGACTTTGCCCGAGAGGCAACCCTAAAATTTCAGTATACACGAGATGCGAGTGGGAAGTAGCGACAACGGTGGAAAAACCAGGTACCAGAGAAATAGTGAACACGATACTACTACTTTACGCTACTACAGTGTTTCTAAGTAACATGGACTCCTGGACATAGAAGTATGGCCGTGGTCTATCTTCGTGACGGAATACACGGTCTGGAGACTGTAAATATTTTCCTACGGAATTCAGAACCAGAAAGTCTTGTTAAAATAATCCCAGGTAGCCTCGGAAACTCCCACTAAAGAGGGGGTTCTTTTGGGGACAACAAGCTCAGTGCGCAGGCTCAGTTTCAATTCAGTTTGCAAGTCTTTTGCGTGTTGCGAAGAGCATGAAATTCAAACCCACCTCAGAAAAGTTTGCCCTTCGCAACTGGGGAAGTCAACTTCGACCTAAACATGTTTTTGGCAAGACAGGCCCAAAGGGCTCCCTCTGTAGATATATTAGTAACAATCGGGTAAATCACCCCGTTAGTACCTCCGTCTTCCCTCGCAGTGTGATTCTCACTTGGAATCGAAGCTCGACTCTTCCTCCTCTACCAAGGACTCTTCCCTTACTGAAATCATCCCGTTTTATTATTCTTTCAAGAACACTCTGGCACTGCTTCTTGATCCTCCTTCACCAGTAAATCCCGGTCTCTTAAGCCAGCAGCCATGGGTGAGCGGAAGGTCCTCAACAAGTACTACCCGCCGGACTTCGATCCGTCGAAGATTCCGAAGCGCATCCCGCTGAAAAATGAGCAGATGAAAGTTCGCATGATGCTTCCTATGAGCATTCGATGCAACACCTGCGGGACGTACATGTACAAGGGGACGAAATTCAACTGCCGAAAAGAGGACGTCGTGGGGGATACTTACCTCGGTCTTTTGAAATTCCGCTTCTATTTCAAGTGTACGAAGTGCTCCGCTGAGATGGTCATGAAGACGGATCCTAAGAATAGCGACTACGAGATGGAATCGGGAGCTTCCAGAAACTTCGAGCCATGGCGAGCGTCGGACGAGCAGAAGGCGACCGCGAAGCGGCAGCGCGAGGAGGAAGAAATGGGCGACGCGATGCGCGCGCTCGAGAATCGAACCCTCGACTCCAAGATGGAAATGGACATTCTCGCAGCCTTGGACGAAATGAAATCCATGCGCGCGCGACAAGCAACCCTCGATCCAGCAGCGGTTCTGGAGGTGCTTCAAAGATCGGCCGGCGGAGCTGGTGGGAGCGGAGGAGGAGTGTTAGCGGATCCGAAACAACTAACGGAAGAAGACGAGGAGCTGATTAAGAAGATAGTATTCAGAAAATCGGAGAAGTTTGTAAAGAGGATAGACAGTGACGAGGAGGATGAGGGGGGAGAAGGCGATGGAGCTGAAGCCAGTAACAAGGATCAGCAAGGAGGGGTTAAAAGGGCTCGTATTGCCGCCAATGGAGACGAAGCTGAAGCAGGCGGTGGTGATGTTCCGGGTGATAATGGTAAAGCCATGAGCTCGAGAGAACCATCGGCTGTTGCGGGAGGGGTTAAGGCAGCATCAGCAACTCAAGATGAAGCAGCGGCAGCAGGAGGCTCAGGAGCAGCAGGGGAAGCAGCAGCAGCAAGTTGTTCAGCCTTTGAAACTCGACGGAGCAGATTTGTTCAGGAGGACCCTCGGCCGGCCTTCGAAGCCAAGCCTGTGAAGGTGGCGTTTATGGTGAAGGCAAAGAGCAAGGTGCCAGACAAGGCGACAGTGCCAATCAAAGATGCAGGGAAAGTGCCATTGGCGAGCAGGGATTCTAGAGGAAATTCTGGAGCTGAAATTGCTGGAGGCAATGCTGATGGTTCAGGGGGTTCCAGTGCTGGTGGCTTGCAGAGAGATGACGAGGAGAAGGGGAAAGCTGCGTTAACCAACTTGTTTTCAACCTATGGTTCTGATGATGATGACGAGGATGAGTAAGAAGAAGGGTCAAAAGGTGGAAAAAAATGTTGGGGTGTTGCAAGGAAGGGGGGAGGTGGGGGCCCGGGGGGTTCCTCTCATAAGGTATTCAGCCCAAGCTTTGTTCCTTTCATTACTAAGAAAATGTCAGATTATTCTTTCCCTGATTGTTGTTCTTTATACCACTAGCTGATGCAATGAATGACACGTTATTGCATATGTTCATACATGTGCCATTAGTCACAACTATTGTATGTACTCTCATCTCATTCAGTTGCATTACAGGTATTCAGAAGAGAAGCTGTAGTGTGGAAATAACAAATACACAAAGAATCCATAAACACTCACATCACAAATCTCCTCTACACCCATCCAATTCAGCAAGCCTAGCGATACCGTACTTGACTGCCATTGCGAGTGTGGCAGAAGCAAAGAGGGCCATGAACCATGACAGCTTGGTAGTGAAACTGACTAGCACTGCCAGACCTACAGTGTAAGCACATCGAGGGAACTTCGCTGCTCCACTTATACCGGTACTACTAACTTGGTTGTTCCGAAGTACGCTCAGCACTACATGTACTCACATATGCACCATCTGTATTCGCGCGCGCACACACATTGTAACACCACACTATGTCAATGCACTGTATCACTGCACAGTTAATGCACTATATTTCTCAATTGCAGCACTGCACTGTATCGCCCCACTGAATGAGTGTACCATGTGAATGCAAGCGCTGTCCGAACGCTTAGCGCAGGGCCTGGGTGTTAGCATTGCGCTTCGGAGGCAGCTTGCGCAGAATGTAGAGCACCAGGGCGGCTGGGATGAGCTCCACACACTGGTGAAGGGGGGGAACGGGAGGGGAACATGGACAAGAGGGGAGCAGTGGGTCATGACGTCAGGTGGCAGCACGGAATGTAGAGCAGCAGCGCTGCTGGGATGAGCTCCACACACTGGTGAGCGAGAAAGGAGGGGGAACAGGGAGAAGAGGGAGAAGAGGGGGGTGATGGGGGCATAACGTCAGGTGGGAGCGAGGCAGCTTGCGCAGAATGTAGAGCACCAGGGCTGCTGGGGTGAGCTCCACGCACTGGGGAAGGTGAGAGGACGGGGTGGGAGGGAAATTGTGAGTAGGGAAGGAGACGGGAAGGGGATGAAGTGCACACACTGGGGGAGAACGAGGAGGCATGCACACAGACGAGGAGGCATGCACACAGACGAGGAGGCATGCACGCAGACGAGGAGGCATGCACGCAGACGAGGAGGCATGCACGCAGACGAGGAGGCATGCACACAGACGAGGAGGCATGCACACAGACGAGGAGGCATGCACACAGACGAGGAGGCATGCACACAGACGAGGAGGCATGCACGCAGACGAGGAAGAGAACGCAGAGGAAGAGAGAGGCCAGAGAAGGGAAGAGAGCAGAGGCAGAGAGGGAGAGCAGATAAGGAGAGAGGGGGGAAAAGGAGCACGGGCTGCTCAATTGAATCATGCCAGCGCTGCTGACATGGGCTGCTGCTGCTACGATGTGGGGTTGCTGGGATGTGGTGGGTACAGGGGCGTGTGGGTGTACGGACATGTGGGTGCAGTGCAGAGGAGCAACGCGGGTAAAAGCGGCGGCTTACAGCATAGTAGGCGACATTGACCCATGGGTCTGCCACCACGTCCAGCCAATTTGGGGAGGATTGTGAAACAACAGGCGTGTGGGTGCAGTGCAGGGGCATGTGGGTGCGGGGGAAGGGGGTGGCTCTTACGGCATAGTAGGCGACGTTGACCCATGGGTCTGCCACCACGTCCAGCCAATTTGGGGAGGATCGTGAAACAACAGGCGTGTGGGTGCGGTGCAGGGGCATGTGGGTGCGGTGCAGGGGCATGTGGGTGCAGGGGAAGGGGGTGGGGCTTACAGCATAGTAGGCGACGTTGACCCATGGGTCTGCCACCACGTCCAGCCATGCCGTGCTCACAATGGCTGAATAAGCGATCTGAATAATAAAAGGGATGAAAGGGTGGGAAAGCAGGCGGGAGGAAGTTAGAGAAGAGGGAGACGTTGAGCCAGGGGTCCTCCACCACGCTCAGCCATGCCGTGCTCACAACCGCTGAATAGGCGATCTGAATTGACACAGAGAGGGAGGGGGAAATAGGGAGGGATGTTGCAACAACAGGCAATGTGGTCCACCCAGGGGTCTGCCACCACGTCCAGCCATGCCGTGCTCACAACCGCTGAATAGGCGATCTGCGTTGATGCATCAGAAAAGGGGGGTAGGGCGCAGGATGAGAGTGCGGAAAGAGGGGGAGTGAAGAGGGAGGGAAGGGGAATAGGACGGAAGGGGAAATGTTGGACAAGTCGGCAACGTTGACCCAGGGGCCCTCCACCACGACCAACCACGCCGTACTCATGCGGGCTGAATAGGCAATCTGAATTGACAGAGAGAGGGAGGGGGAAATAGAGGGGGATGCAACAACAGGCAATGTGGCCCACCCAGGGGCCCTCCACCACGCCCAGCCATTCCGTACTCATGCGGGCTGGACTGGCGATCTGCGTTAGTGGATACATACAAGGGGGAAGAGGGCAGGGGAGGGGAAGATGGCAGGGGAGAGAGGGCGGGGAAAGAGAGCGGGGAAAGAGGGCAGGGGAAACGGAGGAGTGAAGAGGGAAGGCAATGCGGAAATACGGGGGAGGGGGGATGCTTTGATAGTAAGAAACGTTGACCCACCCAGGGGTGTTCAACGACGTTCATTCAGCCAAGCTGTGTTAACAAGAGCTGACTTTTGAGTCGACTCAAAAGCCAAGCAGTGTTAACAAGAGCTGAAAACGTGATCTGAGGTGTGAGGTGTGATCTGAGTCAGTCAAGCAGGTGGCGGAGGGGGAGGCACGGGGAAACACGTATGCAGCATATGATGCAGCAGCAACGGCAGCAGCAGCAGCAGCAGCAGCAGGACTCGTGATGCATTGCGTGCTGCCCTGATGCGGCCCCCATGCGGGCCTCAAGCGGCCCCCATGCTGCCCCCATGCTGCCCCTCATGCTGTCCCCATAATTGCCCCACAATGCATGGAGCACAGCTCAAATTCTTCATGTGGTGTGGCACACCTCGGGTGCAGCAGCACTCACCACGGCTGCTCGAACGATGAAGCAGGAGAAGCAGATGAGAGTCACGAAGCCAACCTGCAGGCGAACACAGGCGAACATAGGCGAATACAGGGTAACAAAGGGTAACACACACAGGGAAGCACAGAGGGGCACACGCGAACGGCCTGTGAATGGGAGGGGAGAGCTGATAATCCCACTAAAGCAATTGAAGCAAGCACGTGATAATAAATCGTAGACTTGCGAAAAAAAAAAAAACAAAAAAAACCAGAAATAAGGTGATCCCAAAACCTCATGCAACAAGAAATCACTCACCTCATGAAGCTTCTTTCTACGACCCCTTGACTCAATGGGGAACTGCCGCAGCATGAGGAAGAGCCTGATAGGAGGAGAAAAGAGGGGGAGGGGAAACGAGGGGGAGGGGAAACGAGGGGGAGGGGAAACCAGGGGGACGGGAGAGGAGGGAAGCGGGGAAGGTGGGGGAGGGGGCAGGGGAGGGACTTAATGGGGAACTGTTGTAGCATGAGCAAGTGCCTGAGGGTAAGAGGGGAAGCGGGGTGGGAGGAGTGAAGGAGCGACGGAGGAAAGGCGAGTGGGCAATGAGGGGAGGTGTGGCAAGGTGCAATGCCGCGAAGGTGACAGTGCAATCTGGAAAGGAGGAACTATTCTAAAGGCGTCCCAATGAAGCGCTTCACAAGCCAAAGTGCACAGCGGAGGTGAGACTACGAGGTACAGAGAGGGAAAGTATGGCAGGAAAGGGATGTGGAGGGGGAGGGGAGGAGGGTAGAGTGGAGAAGGGGGGGGGGACAAGGTGCAGCTCGCTGCTCCCTCTCACACCTCACACCATCGTACCTGCCGCCATACAGCAGAAAGCCTGCTGCTGCTGCTAGCGACTTTTCAGTCGACTCAAAAGTGATCTCTTTAAGACGTCTCACACCTCACACGCACAGACGTACCTGCCGCCATACAGCAGAAAGCCTGCTGCTGCTGCTAGCGAGACAGCTGCAATGGGAGGCGAGGGCGGGGCCGGGGTGAAAGAACAAGGTAAAGAATTTGAAAAGGGGAAGGGCATAGGGTGGTGGAGTGGAATGGGTACAACGGGGAGAGAGGAGTGGGGGGTGAAGGAGGATAGGAGGGAGAGCGGAAGGGAGAGATGGGGGTGGGGGACGGTTGTCTGGGGGAAGGGAGGTGGGTTGATGTAGGGGCACGGAAAAGGGCGGGGGCGACATGGAGCAAAGAGGAACGCAATGCAACATGAACCAGAATAGTGAAAGAAAATTCCTACAGGTGCCAATGGGAGAGGAGTGCACAACTGGCCAGTAAAGAAGAGCTAGGCAATTAGGTCGGCTGTGAGCATGTGCTGGTGTGTATGAGTCGAGTCAAGACAGGGCTTGAAACAAAGCAATGAGAGAGGGTGGGTGCAACTGACCGGTAAAGAAGAGCTTGGCGATGAGGTCGATTGTGAGCATGTCCTTGTGGTCGAACCACATGACTCCCCAGATGGCCGCCTGGGGGGGCGAGAGTCGAGACAGCAGGGAGGAGAGACGGGGTACAGAGAACACGAATTGAGCTGCGTAAGGGGCCTGTCAGAGAGAGGTCGATTGTGAGCATGTCCTTGTGGTCGATCCACATGACTCCCCAGATGGCCGCCTGAGTCGAGGGGAGAGGGCGGGGAGATGGGAGGGAGGTGAGAAAAGGGGTGCAATGAGCGGCAGAGAACATAGAGGTTGTGGTCGATTGTGAGCATGTCCTTGTGGTCGAACCACATGACTCCCCAGATAGCCGCCTGAAGAGGAGACACGGTCACACGGGAGAGCAGAGGAGAGGAGAGGGGAGGTGAGGAGAGGAGAGGAGAAGAGGAAGATGAGAGAAGGGTGCGAGGGGCAACAGGGAATACAGAAGGAGGGTGGCGGAAGAGGGGGGTGTGACAGAGGGAGGTTGATAGTGAGGGCGTTCCTTGTGGTCGAACCACCTGACACTCCAGATGGCCGCCTGAAGAGGAGACACGGTCACACGGGAGAGGAGGGAGCGAGAGAAGGGTGCAAAGGGCGACAGTGAGGGCGACAGTGAGGGCGACAGTGAGAGCGACAGTGAGGGCGACAGTGAGAGCGACAGTGAGGGCGACAGTGAGAGCGACAGTGAGAGCGACAGTGAGGGCGTCAGTGAGAGTGACAGTGAGAGCGACAGTGAGGGCGTTCCTTGTGGTCGAACCACCCACATGACACCCCAGATGGCCGCCTGGAAACATAGAGAGGAGTGGAAGAACAGATATCACTCCATATGATACGAAGGGACAGAAGGGGGAGGAGGGGGTCGACGCACGGTAGGTAGGTACTACTACAACATGACCACAGAACATGAGAATACCTCACAGCACCCCTCTGAACCGCACCAGACTCCTCAGAACCCTCACCTGCAGCACGTAGACGCCAACGTTGGCCGCCATGAAGTACGGCCGCAGGTTGTCTGTGGGCAGGCCGCGCGCCTGAAAGGAGAGGAGGGGAGGGGGGGAGGAAGGGGAGGCGGGGAGGGGGAGGGGAGGGAATATGAGGTGTCTGAAGAACGGCCGCCATGAAGTACGGGCGCAGGTTGTCTGTGGGCAGGCCGCGCGCCTGGAGAAAGGGGAGAAAGAGGGGGGGGAGAGAATGGGAATAGCCTCTGAGTCGACAGCAACGTTGGCCGCCATGAAGTACGGCCGCAGGTTGTCCGTGGGCAGGCCGCGCGCCTGAAAGGAGAGGGGGGGGGGGGGGGGGGGGGGTTTGAGGGGGAGGGAGGAAGGGAGTGCAGGAGAAACACTTGAGTCCACTGCAATGTTATCATGAGGTACGGCCGCAGGTTGTCCGTGGGCACGCGCCTGAAACGGGGTGAAGGGAAAGGGGGTGGGGTGAGGGAGGGGGAGGGGGGGGGGGGGAGAGCGGGAGAAACTTTCGAGTCAATTGCAATGTTGCCATGAAATACGGCCGCAGGTTGTCTGTGGGCAGGCCGCGCACCTGAAAAGGGGAAATGCAAGTAGGGGGCGAACGGGAAAGAGGAAGGGAAGGGAAATTGCGTGTCTTAGTTGCGGCCGCCTTGAAGTGCTGCCGCAGGTTGTCCGTTGGCAGGCCGCACGCCTGGACGGGGGAGAAAAGGGGGGAAAGGAGGGGGGAGCGGGGAGGAAGCGAGCGGAAGAAACTTTTGCACAAACTGCAATGTTACAATGAAGTACGGCCGCAGGTTGCCCGTGGGCAGGCCGCGCGCCTGAATGGGGGGAAAGGGTGGGGAGGGGGAGGAAAGGGAGGGGGGAGGGGGGGGAGGAGAAACAAGAGTGTGGAGGGAATGAAACAGGTAACTTTGAGTCGACTCCGAATTTACCACGAAACACGGCCGCAGAATCTCTGTTAGAATGCTACGCTGCGAGCCTGAAATGCGGTGCAGAGGGGAAATATACACGTAACGTAACAGCGGACATGAAAATGGAAATGGAAAGAGAGGACAACAACAGATTGAGAAGAGGTACACAAGGCGATCAGCTGTAAGACACAAGCTATGGGAAAATAATCAGGTGCAAAAAAAATACACAGCATGACACATGCTTGTATCAGAAGAGTGCAAGAACGTTCGTAGCTAATTGGATGGAGCGGCGAGAGGTAGAAGAGGAAGAAGAAGAAAACAAAGGTTTGATAAACGGTTTAATGTTCACCTGGTGGTAGATTTCGGCCCAGAAGAGTACGAGCAGGGTGTAGGTGGTAAAGAAGAGAAGACCGGGGAGGTCCAGAAGCACATGTGCGAATACCTGAGTAGCACAAGAGAACAGGAAAGGGGGGATTGGGTTGAAAGGAGAGGTGGAGAGGGGGGGGGAGGGATTCATGACTCAGAGAGGTAAGACAAACGGAGAAGAGGAAATCGAAAGCCAGAGACAAGTGGGAAACAGCTGTGTGCGGGCGGGCGGGACACGGGATCATGAAGTCATACTGACATGGGCACAGAACATCAATCAGGATTCTTTGACTCGCGACTCACATGGTTGGGACCTGTGCTTAGGACCTCCACCTCCTCGCACTGAAGCAACAAGTTCTAGCAACAAGTACTGACATGACCACGCGTCAATCCATTATCCAGGCACACTCACATGGTTGGGACTCGCGACTCACATGGTTGGGACTCGCGACTCACATGGTTGGGACTCGCGACTCACATGGTTGGGACTCGCGACTCACATGGTTGGGACTCGCGACTCACATGGTTGGGACTCGCGACTCACATGGTTGGGACTCGCGACTCACATGGTTGGGACTCGCGACTCACATGGTTGGGACTCGCGAATCACATGGTTGGGACTCGCGACTCACATGGTTGGGACTCGCGACTCACATGGTTGGGACCTGTGCTTAGGACCTCCACCTCCTCGCGGAAGAGAAACACCACGGCTCGCACTGCAGAGGGAAAGGCGAGAGAAGAAAATAAATGAAGAATCGGATCGGAACGAAGCGGCAATACGTCAGAGTGAGAACTGAGTGCGAGTGAATGAGTGCAGAAGTGAGAGCTACAGCGCGACGGAGGCGACGACGGCAAAACGACGGCGACGGCGACGTACAGGCATTGACGACGAGGATGAGAAGGTGGAAGACCTTCTGCGTCGTCCAACCGTAGAGCCGTTGGGTAAACATCCATAACGTACGGGCATTACAAGGTGGTAACCACATAGCGATAACGACAACGACGACGGCGGCGACGACGGCGACGACGACGACGACGACGACGTACAGGCATTGACGACGAAGTTGAGGAGGTGGAAGACCTTCTGCGTCGTCCAGCCGTATAGCCGTAACTTACGGGCATTACGAGGTGATAAATACACAGAGATAACGAGGACCGCGACGTACAGGCATTGACGACGAAGTTGAGAAGGTGGAAGACCTTTTGCGTGGTCCAGCCGTACTCCGGCACTCTGCGCTGAATGCGAATGAGCTGGATCTGAAACCGGGAGAATGATGTAAATGCAATAAACGGATACGAACGAAAAGAGAAGCCACTATAATGAGAACGGAAATTAGATTTAAAGGAGCATCCAATGCCAGGAGCTAGTGGAGGTGAGGCTAGATGTCACACGAGGCCCATCAGTCGGTGAAACCGGCAGTTGAGAGAGCCGGCGATAGCCGTCGATGTAGACTGGTAGACAGCCGACGATAGCCGGCGATAGCCGTCGATGTAGACTGGTAGACAGCCGGCGATAGCCGTCGATGTGGATTAGGCCAAGTGAAAAACGCTGGAAACATACGACGGCATGATGATTGACAGCGACCTCCGTGGGAGTTAAACTACTGAAAGTCTTAAGCTGAAGGTCCAATCTTCTCAGGGACTGAACTGTGAGAGGTAAGAGATGACATTTGGAATCTGTTTACCCGATCTAATTGCCGCAATGTTCCATTTCTTCTGAAGAAAATAATCCATCTACACAGAAATGCGTTCCAAAAAAGAGACCGACGGACAATCATTTACCAGGGCCACCATGCCGACAAAGGCGTAAGCTCCCGCTAAAGCCTCGTAAGCCTCATCTCGGACTGTGTGATCCTTCCCCTCCCCTTTCTCCAGCCATGACGAGATGAGCAAATGAACATCCGGCAGCTTCCCTGACCCAAACATCGTATCTCCGCTACCAAATGCTAATACCGACACCAAGGCGAACCACCACAGGTTCGAAAAGCCGAACCAAGCCGATGTCAAATGGGTTTTGCCTAAAGAGTCACGGTCTACAAGTTCAGAGACGGTTAGCAAACCTAACAGGCTATGGCGAACAACGAAACGCTTTAGGTAAGTTAGGGTTGCGGGGAACCAACTCTTTCACACCACAAACTGTTCATCCAAGTTCAGCTAACATGAGTTCAGGATGTTGTAACTGCAGTTGCCTTCGGAATGGGATGGAATGGGATATGCTGCACTTATCTACAGCCCGGTTGGTTCGCTGCTTGCTTGCTTGTGTTGGGATGGAGGAAGCTGTGGTAAGCAAGGGCTCCACAAACTTCTGTTTCGCATCAATTCGCACAGGCTAACCCCTTGGGACTGGCCTCAATTCGGGTTACCTGGTTCAGGGCCTCAATGCTGTCCTCCAAGGGGGATCTGCAACAGCCAATCAGTAGGCGGGTTGCTGACGTCAACTGAGACGGGTGCGATTGAGATTCCAGAACATTGGTGTGTTTGAGGACAGCAAATCTGATATGTAACGACGTAACACACGGATAAAATCAAAACTGGTCTGTATAACTGCTTAGAACTTGTTCACTTTCACAGAAGGGAGGGACCATAGTGAAATCCTACCTAATATTTTGAACAAGGGGGAAATCCAGCACATAATTTTCGTTGAAATCCTGCAGATTTTAGCGTGCTAAGAAAAAAAGCTACATACTCTAATTTAAGCGCCTAGAGCAAAAATATTTCCCGATACAAACACTCACTTTCTAAGCGATCCTTTGATTGAGACCGCTGAAAAAATCAGCTGCAGAAGTGTTCCCTTCTCGAAGCTGATGACTACTCCCACCCACCACCTCTCCACACTCCGGACAGCGTGACTCCTGCATTGCACCACCACATTCCCCTATGGCATACACATGCCCATTGCGGCACCGATACCAATGGCCTGTTCCAAAGCCCATCGCCCTGTACACCTCGTCCTTTTCCCGCTCTGTCAGGACAAAATAACGAGGTTCGTCCCGAACAGATGTTTCCAGAGCAGGTAACTCTTCCTGTAACATTTTCCTGGCTCTCTCCCCAAGGGCATTGTTACTGACAGAGACCATGGGGTGATAGGCAACCATGTGGCATAGGATCTTAGCCTTCTCAAGATACTCCAGCTGTTGCGCCTTCGATCCATTCTGCAGAAACGCACGCCAACATGTTAATGTTGTTAATGAATACTTCATATTGGAGTCCCAATCAGCAGAGGAGGGACATGCTCAGAAAACATGGTCCATGCAATGTAAGAACTGTAGTTAGTCATGGATACAGAAATTGCATGACTTACCTGGTCGACAGTGGAGCTAGAGAGCAGGCGCTCAGCCATCATCCCTTCCACATATGCACGATACACGCCAACCAGCTCCAGTCGCGCCCTTGCCTCCAGTCGGTGTGCCATGCACTTGCCAGCCCAATCCACCGCCGCCACAAGACACTCACGAGCATTATTCAGGCACGTGTGCAAAGTTATTCTACATTCACGTACACGCTGGTAAAAGTAATGCTCTATAGTTGGAGCACTTCTCTGTCCAGTTGCATTTCGAAGATTCCTCAGATGGTCCCGTAGCTGGAGGAGGTTCAGAGTCATGAGAAGCTCGTGGCATTTTGCCAGAATGATGAGCGATTCGCAAGGCGGGCGCGCGTCCGGCTGGGGAACGTAGAGCAGACGGCATTCCTCCTCCAACGATGCTGCTGCAGGAATAAAATCACCAGCACCACTCGCCCCGCCTCTCCCACCACTCCATGCCGGGCCCCCCAGCAGCGCGTGCTTTCTCTGCAGAGCTGCTATGCACGCCTGATAAGTCTTCCAGGTGGGTGGATTCATGGATGCAGCACGCAGGCGTTCTGCTTCGGCCATGAAGCCTGTCACAGACTGACCCAACTCGTCTAGGTGCTTTGGCGGAGCATCCCCAGGGCACCTAGCCACAGCTCGGTTAAGCCGCGACAGTCTCCTTTGTGCAGACTCCTGGTCAGCGGAACACTCGACGACAAACTTGCGCTCCGATTGGTCCAAGAGAGCCTTGTTAACCATTCTGCCATAGCGTCGGAGCCCTGTGATTGGCTGGCGACAATCAGGGCAGCCCTTTAAAGCTGAGAGATTGCCATTCTCAAATGGCAGCACTGCCAACCACTTGCCTGCAGTCCCACCTCCAATAGCACCACCCCCTCCAGAAGTATTTCCAGCAGCACCACCCCCACCAACCCTATCCCCAGCAGCACCAGTCCCACCAGCCGCAGCCCCAGCAGCACCAGAACCAGCCGTGCCCGTCCCGTTTGAACCACCACCATTAGCACCACCCAGTGGTTTTGACTGCAGATACACCTCATCCAGCCCAAGATGGCCATCAAGGGTCTCCACAGTGTAAGCATGCCCACATGCCAGCACGAGAATGGGATTTTCGTCTGGATTCACCTCCCCTAGAGTCTCAAGAGTCACCAGATCGACCATATACTCCTTTTTAGGCTTGGACCCGCATTTGGGAGGAGTGCAATATTCGGTAGAGGGGCACTTTTCCCCGCACAAGGAGGGGCACTGGTGGCCGCATCTGAGTTTTTTCTCACAGCGTTTGTCGCAGGGGAGGCGATCACAGGGGGCACCACAGGGGAGAGAGCACGGACCCTGGTGCTTGCAGAACCAGCCGCAAGGCTCGGCGCATGGGGCACAGGTTCGGTGGCAGGACTGGGAGCAGGAGCTGTGTTGGCAGGATACGAGGCATTTTTTACGGCATGGCTTGCAGTCCTTGCCATCGTGACAGATTTCAGAACATAAGTGGCCGCATGGGTGGGGCCTCTTGCACGGAAGAATGCACACCTTGTGCTTCTTTGGAACAGTTGACGTTGATACTTCCATGCCCACTCCCTCCTGCTGCTGCTGCTGCTGCTGCTGCTGCTGCTGCTGCTGCTGCTGCTGCTGCTGCTGCTGCTGCTGCTGCTGCTGCTGCTGCTGCTGCTGCTGCTGCTGCTGCTGCTGCTGCTGCTGCTGCTGCTGCTGCTGCTGCTGCTGCTGCTGCTGCTGCGGCTGCTGCAACCCAGGTGCCTGCTGTTCCTGTCCCTTCTGCTCCTTCTTGGCTTTGTCATCTGGGGCAATGATGCAATCACCGCAGCGATAGTTGCACTCGTGCCCACAGGAATCCGAGAGAACTACACCGCAACGAGCCGTGCAGAGCTTGGGATTGCTCTGCCTGGTTGTGGCCTCACTGCACTTGACTGTCTGCTTGTGACCGCAAAGAGGCATGGTGACTTCCACTGATGACCTGCGATTGGATAAGGTGCACGTGCATGCATGCATGGGCGGGAACGGTCGAGAGGGTGGCACACATGAGAGAGATGTATGAGGAGATGTGATACCTGATCCATTGAACAATATAAGGTGCGGCAAGCAATGAAGATGTGCATACAAACACCGAAGGCCCCCATTGGATATGCATGGCTCATGCAGAATCAGCATCCATACGCACTGTGGTGTCCAGCCACGAGACCATGCAGAAACGGCAAAAATATGAGAATGTGCACGTAAGCGCCACAACTGTCACACTGCTTTTACGTGAAAAGACCAGAAGGGAGGAAGAAAACTCACGAGCAAGGAATCGAAGCTGGTCGTTGTGCCTGGAAGCACGGAACGTTGACTGCCTTATGCCCACAAGGTAGTGTGACTGCTTTGACCAACACCTTGCATTCGCCACAATCTTCCCCACACTGCTTAGGGCAGGGGTGCTGGTGCGGGCACTGGTCCAGAGGCCGTATGCGGTTACATTCCTTGGGGCAGAATGTCTTGGCATGTGCTCTGTCGTCCCCATGGCACCTGTGGCAGCAAACAACGCACAAGTTGTTGCTCTGATTCCAATCCAAAAAGAGGTGCAAGCACTATTAATGGTACACTAGTAGTTTTTGTGAGCTTTGACCATAAAGCACATGTCGCTAACAAAATCATATGCATGCTAGACATTAGGAACAACAGCATCAAATGAAAATAGTCACAGTTAAACACACCGAGTGAACATTGGAATAGAACCTGTGATTCTGACCTGCGAGGACAGGTGTGCCCACACGGCACGAGTCTGAAGCCTCACATCTGGGAGCATCCGCCCTCACTCGCCTTCTCCTTGAAGTCGCTCGCATTTTCAATGTTTGTGATGGTGTCAGGGTGGTTCACACACTGCAGCGGAATGAACTTCTGAATGCGGTCTTTGCTCTTTAGGATGTTCAGGACCTTCGGCCAAAGCACAGACTTGGGGTCAGCTTTCATCGTGCTGGCATTTCCTGTTGCAAGGGTGGAAATTTGGGCGAAGAAATGGGGGAGTGAACGAAAGAATCAGCATGAAAACTTCATTATATGAGCACTTTCGCGTGCACGAACGCAGCAGGAGCATTAATAAACACCACCCACACCCGTCACGTATCTGTTGTTACATATTCCAGCATCCACCGACAGGGCCATCCACTCACCAACAATGTACATTCCGTGAACTCACCGATGGTGCAGGTCAGACGTAATACCCACCAGCACCCAGCATGTTAGTCTTCATTCAAAATCCAGTATCCATGGAAAGGCCTGGGACTCACCAACAATGTACATGCCATGCTTGGCACGGGACAGCAGCACGTTGGTGCGGTTGGGGCTCTTGAGGAACCCGATCTTGCCGTCACCGTTGTTGCGTACGAGGGAGATGATGATCACCGTGCTCTCCTCGCCCTGGAAACTGCACATGAGCAGAACCAATGTGCAGCAGAAACTAATATCAACTATTCTTCAACAGGCTCCAATCGCTAATTCATTCATCCATGCATGAAGTAGAGATAAGCTACATTTATACAAAAAAAAGGACTTACTTGTCAACCGTAGCCAACCGCACTTCATCCTTCAAATCCGCTGTGGACGGCACGAGATGGCTCTCTCCCGGTCCCGGCCCCTTGCTCTGCGACCATGAGCCATGTGACGAATCACCCTTGCTCCTGCCATCACGTTCTCTGGATCCACCGCCCCTAGCTGCAGCCTTCTCCTCCGCCTCCTCCACCACCTCAGCATCACTCTCCCCCAGCTTCACATTGACCACACGGGAGAGCGCCTGGCGTAGCTTCAGCAGCTGGCCAACATACGGGGTGAGGATGGTGATCTCCCCTCCCGCGTACCCCTGCTGCAGCAGGTACGTCGCCAGACCCACCACCAAGTCCATCTCTCCCTCGTTTGTCTTGGACTTTGACTCATTTAGGTAATCACCGCCCTTCTCCGGGCTGTCATGGTCCCAAAAGTGCAGATTTGTTGCCATGCCTCGAACGTCGGGGTAGCTCTGAACAGATGGGTGGTCTGTGAGCTGGGGGTAGATGGTGCTGCGGATAAGGTTGGCGATTTCCGGACGCATGCGGCGCTGCGTGGCGAGGGTGTAAATGGGGATTTGCTTGGAGAGGGCGAGGCGTTCGAAGAGTGAAACGTCCAGGTCAAAGCCCCTTAGGGAGTCCTTGCTCAGCTCGTACACCTCCACCTTGGGCCGCAGCTGCAGGTGGTCGCCTGCCAATCAAAATTGAGGTGGGGGACAAGAATGGAGGTGGGGAAGGTTTCAGTGTTTTTGCCACAGCCATACTGGAGCATCATCACCTTGCACACCCAATGTAGCCATGCCTATGACACGACCAATACAAGCTCAAATACGAGCAGCCCAAAAACCAAAGTGAGTGAATATCAGACAAGGGAATGCATCCAGGATGTTGTACCAATGAGGATGAGGTGTTGAGTCTGCGGGGTAAGCGACGTGAGAATGTGGGCTTCCAGCACCTCAGCAGCCTCCTCCACGACGATGACTCGCGGGCCAAGCGCCGTGATGAGGCGCTGCATCTTGGCCACCCCAGACGTGGTCATGCCCACCACCTGCGCCTTCCTCAGCACCTGCAGGTCCTCTATATCCATGAGCTCCCGACTCTCCGCCACCTTCCTGCATGCTTTGCAGTGCACAGTCGTACATCATTGACACTGCCAGTTGGTGCCGATCCAGATCACACTAGCCCTCTCAACACACACAAAAAAAAAGCTTCTTGAAAGCCATAGGAGCACCTGAAAAAAACAGAGAAAAAAGTCTTACGCACTTCGCATGATTGCGAACCTCTGCTTCGATAGCAGCATTGGCAGTCGCCTTGAGCTCCTCCAACCAATGCCTCAGAAGCTTCAGTCTCTCCCGTAGGCTGGTTGCCCATGGATCTGCCACTTCGAGCAGGTCCTCCAATGCTCGGTCACCGGACGTGTCCATTGCCCGTGCACTCTGCATGGTTGCTGCCTCCTGGCTACTTCTTGCTATCTCAACTACCGGTGCATGCTTCATCATGGCCTCCATGAGTCCTTTGTTTCTACGAACAACTGCTTCCTTCGTCAAGCCCCGCTTCCACTCGTTCCAATAATCGGGTGCCACGTGCTGCCATATCAACAACGGTACATGTCAAAGGAATGAAAAAGGATACGAGATACCACAAATGCATCTGCGACCAAGCATCAATCACCTTGGAATCAACAATGTCGATCTCCACAGGGCTTTGGAGCGCCTCAAAAAACACAGGGTGGTTCGCCATCAAATGGGGAGAGATCAAGCCCCATGACATGGCCTGGAAGTTATCATTTCTGAACCGCAAGGCCTCGCTGTAGGTTGCAATGACTCTTTCAACCTCTCTCATCCTGCTGTGAATCGAAAACTTTGAGTTCCTGTAGCCTGCACATATGCACACAGAGACAACAATTAAAAGACTTCAAATTCGGTGGTGAACATGTTTTACTCTCTTTCTTCTTTTAACGACCTTGAGAATTGTGAAGCTTCCTCTGGCTGTGGTGGGGAGAATACCCTTGGATGATGTTGAAGAGGTTGTACTTTTGAAGAGACTCAGACTTGCTTCTACCTCCCACTCGAACCACCTGCAAATCATGCGAATTACCGGCATATGGCAGCCTCAACTCTTTTCGATCCTTTGCAGATTGCATGGCAAGGACTACCTTGCAGAGAATAGATAAAATTAACCAGACAAATCAGCTAGGGTAATGAAGTTTACTTTCTAAGCTTACATTCTTTATGCCACTTGCGATCAAGCCCTCCAGGAACTGGTCGAGAGCATGATTGGTGAAGCACACACAGAGAATCGGACCCATGGGATTATCCTTCTGGCCGCCATCCACCGCATCCGCAAAGGCGTTGTTCAGGAGAACTTCCACGAGCTTGATTCCAACAAAAGTCTGCATTAGATTGCCTGGAGAAGGTTAGCAAAAAAGGTACCAACTAGCTCCTGTGCAAGCTTCAGTAGTAGTAATGGTGCACTCGATTGGCGTTTTCCAACAATGCCCACCTTGCCGGTTCCTGGTGGCCCTTGGATCAGGGCGAACTCTTGAGTCAAACCAGCTTGGAGAGCCGTGCATTGAGGGTGGTCCAGCGATGTGCAACGCATGAGAAGATCAATCGGAAACTCGTCAGGGTCGGAAATTGGAACGTTTATGATGGAAAACCAGTCGTCTGGAGAAACTTCTTGCTGGGAAGGCGAGGCCTTGGTCTGAACCAGCAAACTCAGGTCATAGCTGCAAGGGACAAGAGGAATATTAGCTGCAATGCCATCTCTTAATTTCTGACCTTCTAGACGCACCATTTTTCTTTTTTCCCCCAACTCATTATATTACTGTGTTTCCTTCCAATCACTTACTGCATGCTGTCACCGACATATGCTGGAAGCTTGGTCTTAGGGCTGGCAGAAGCGCCGTCAGGTGCATCACAGATGTATTCCGAGAACGGAAAGGATGCTTCACTGATGTTCTGCAATGCCTTCAGAATCGGCTCATAGGCAAAATAACTCCCATGAGCTTCCAGCATGAAAACTCGCTTGTTAGCAGAGCCATCATGGGAGATGAGCTCCAGCAGCTCTGCACTGAACCGATTATTTTGACAAGGCTGGACTCCAATCTGAGGCCTCTGATTGGCTAGCCTTCGCGTGTCTCGGGCTGTGATGGTTGCAAAGACAAGCTTCTGGCGACCTGGAGCTTCCATGTTATCTTGATGGATGTCCTGAATCCACAGGCAAACCAGAGAGCCATTCTGGAGCCTCTTCGTATGCTCCCAGAACTCCATCCTGAAACATCAAACAGGATTTTAGTGTACAGTGGGTCAATCTACTACCATATACGAGCATTACACACACAGGACATGATTCACTCTGGTATTTTCACGTACCTGCTGCAAGCACGGTGACCTTGTGAAATAGGTGGCTCTAAGAAGTCGATCAAAAAATAAACACCGTTCTTCTTATCTGCATTGATTGACAGGACCCGGACATCCTGAAGCATGTACATGTCCATGTCGTCTGAAGAGAACCCCACCATTCCTTTCATGTTTACAGCCAAACCCTTCAACAAGCTTCGGTCTGCCTTCACAAGTCCCGTCATGGCCCCTTCCCTGCTGGCGCTTCTGCTTTCACGAGTGGAGCATTCGCGCTTCAGACTTTCCAACAGAAAGAAGGCCTTATTCCAGAGAGGAGCAACGAGGTCGTGCCTGAGAAGGCGGAACTGGATGTCCACGTGGCGTCCTACAGAGCCAGCAGGGAGGTGATGACGCTCCTCCACATTATTGCGGGGCAGATAAGGAGGGACATCGCAAAGAACTTCTTCCATGGTTGGAGCCACGGAAATCTGCATAGCAAATAAGGATATGTTAGGAGAATATGTCCGTATCAATTTAGAAACAGAAATTGTCATGGAAATGTTTGTCACATGGTAACATCTTACGGCTGATATGTCTGCATGGTCATTATCATGCCTCGGGTGGCCAGCTAAGCTGAGTTCACCCGGACCATCCACAGCTTGCTTGGTCAAAAGCTGATGACCTGCAACAGCGAAGCACAACAATGTCATAAAATTTCACAAGACACAAAATGAAGTCGAATTTCCTATTTCCTGTTTCATGACGAACCTGGCTCGTAGGAGACTTCAACTGGCGTCTGGCCAATCTCCGTGCTCTGCCTCTGTCTTTTGCAATGACTGCGCCTATCAAGAGACTTCCTCAGCCTGCGAATGGCTGAGTAGAGGCTATGGTACTTTCCATCAGACACTGGCTTCTCAATCTGCCATTTCTGAAGCATGGCTTCAAGCTGCTGCATGTCAGTGCTGGCTTGTGTAGCGTCAAACAAGGAGTGGAAACGGTCCATTGTCAAGTGAAAAAAGTTGATGATGATCTGAAATGCCGTGTCCCAGTCATTGACGCCGTCGTCTTTTTTCTCGGGGTCGCCTATTGTTCCCCTTTGAGTCAGAAGCCTCATGCAGTTGACGAGGTATTCTTGAAACCCTTCCACTTCAACCATGGTTGCGAGGGTCGTGTTAACCTTGCTCGAAGCAGGGTTGTTGCAAAACTCGGGCTGAAAATGCAACGAAACATAAACCAACGTGGGATGTTCAGGATCTAACGAAGATAAAATGAATACGAGCAGAATCACGAACTGGTACCTGGCAAACGACTCGTAACAATGGCAACAAAACACTCTGGAAGGAAACTCTCTTGGAATTGTTTCCAGCTGCCACTGAATCTGAAGAACCGCATGCAACAGCTTCCTGACAGATACTGATCAGCTTCTTCCTGCCGAAATACTTGTCGTTCGCGAGATCAATGACCAAATCTGCAAGGACGAATATTTGTTAGAAGCCGGTGCTCCTTGCCACATCCAACTCTCGTACTTCCTAATATAGTACCTGAAGCATCGTGAGCTGCCATTGCGAGGACGAATCTTCTCATTTGAAACTGATTCGTGAGTGGTCTGTCGTTCGGCATGAACGTCCAAAAGCTCGGGCCACTTGACTCTGACTTGTCCGTCCCTTTTCCTCCATTTTTGTTTCCATCCTTCCCGTTCTCTACCCCGTCTCTAATACCATCGTCCGCTTTCTCTCCTCTGTGACTGCATCCTTTGATCCCATCACTCTCACCAGTTCGACTCTCGTTATTTCCGTTTCCACCATTTCTATTTCCTTCGCTGCACTTTCCACCACGATTCCGACGTCTATCACGCTTTCTGTTCTTAGCATTCCTCTTTGTTCCAGTTTTGTCAAAATCCCGGCCACGTTTATTGCCGACTCTAGGCCCGCCAGGCTGGGAATCCATGGCGTAACCACCAAAACCAGACTTAAGTACTGGAAACTGGGTCGCGAAATCTGTCTACTGGTAGTCATCATGGCTAAATAGCAACAGCGAGGAGCTGGAGAACACAGCAATGCCTCAGATGTCACGAACATCATTGGTGATAAGAGCAAGGTCATGAAATGAAACCAGAGATGCTGCTGGTTTACTTCACTCACGCCTTGTCCACGCCTTGCTCACGCCTAATATTCCCCCTCTCAGTCCAAGGTCGGAGCTGTGTGCATCAGCTCTCATGTTGCTTTTGGATGGGATCTCCAGTTGCGAGACCCACAAATCTTCGCTTAGCCTGGAAACCAGACACTTTCTGCTTTCGTCAAGTTCTGCAGCTGGTCGCGAACGATGATAGCTCCAGCTTTCAAGTCGAAAGATGTCGAATACGGCAACAACAAACTTCGATAAAGAATATCTATGTTTTGCACTACAAGTTTCCCCCTGCACAATAGTTCCCATTGCAAATATTATTTCACAGCACAAATCGCATTCTGTAGACCTAGTCCATCACGCCCCAACTACACTGCATCCTCCTCATACTGCAACCGAGGCACTTATTGTCGACACTACGGTTGCAACCTCTCCCATGGTCCCGCCCACGTCAGAGTCGAGGAAATCGGGGTTGAGAAAACGCGTTTTCCCTCCATAATCGCGACTCAGGGCGCTTCACCTCTCAGTTCGAACAGCACGCTCGTTCGAACAGGCGAAATGTTCGATGGGTGTTCGGGACGTCGCTAGTCGGAGATTTCGCGAATTTGAACAGAGCTGTCACATGGGGTACGAGGCTCTCCATTCCGCACGTTCGAACAGAGTTGTTCGAACAAGTTGGGATTGGTGACATGGATTCCGCAAGGACGACTGATTTGATTGGTTAGCAGGCTTCGGGTCGCACACATATGTTTGCGACCATTGCAAATGTCGCCATGCAGACGACTAATTTGTTGCCTTGCGACGTTTCGCGAAGTCGTCCAACACTTGGCGACGTCGCATCTTCGAACAGGCTGTCACCTCTCGTCACGAGCTGTCACATTCACCAGAGTGTTCAAATTTGTGTTCGAATCTCGTCGGGAAACTGTTCGTACAGTGAATTCGTTACGTATGTTCGGATTTGGGCATTCCAGCCCCGAGGTGATGCGCCCTCAGGGAATCCCCGACACTCGAGAACAAGCAGCCTAGACATCTGTCTGTCGTAAGATAGGATCGAGAATCTCAACATCATAGAACTATCGTCACATGAAGGCTTTCTTGCGCATACACAAACGAGTTTCTTCCATAGTTCTCACGTCTCCACCTTTTCATCTCGCTCGCATAAGTTCCCGTCGACGCGAATCTTTTGAGAAGGAGCCGTCTCCCTGGTCTTGTTCCTCAGACGTCCCGTTAGTACCTGTCCTTCCGTCGGTTGCCTTGCTTCCTGTTACAGTAGTTTTCGCGCGGTAATTCGCACACTCTTATCGGTCTCAACGCTAGCGTGTCCACTCATTCCCGGAATTCCCGGATTCCGATCTTCACTCATGGGCAAACCTCGTTTATGTCACATCATCACTAGCAAGCCACCGCAACAATGACGAGCCCGTCGAACCACGTCAGCTTCGGCAACAGCGGCGGCGGAAGCGGCAGTTTAGGGATCCTAGGCAATAATAGCAACTTAGGGCTACTAAGCCCCGTGAACGAGCAGCGATTGGTCGCAGGTGTCTCCGCAATTCTCGGCTCGCAATGGAGCCGCCGGCTGCTCCTATTGGCTGTTCTCTTCTTCGCGTGGCTCACGTTCGTTCTGTCGACGTTTCTCATGCTGCCACGTGTCCACACGCTACAAGCCATCCAGCGGAACAGGCTGCGAAGAGAGAATCACGGAGTTCGCGTGAGCGGGCTATTCGCAACCAAGGATTCGAATTACATGCACGAAGGAAGCAAAGGGTACAGTAAACTACACGATACAGTCCGTCACGGAAACGCAATCGGAAATAAAGGCATTATAGGAACCAGCGGTGCGAGCCCAGGTGGAAGCAGGGTCGGTGGAAGCAGCATAGGAATTGACGAGAGAGAGAGTGTGTACAGTTCGCAGAACGTGACTGGGGGAGGGTTTACAAGGGAAGGCAGTACTCAGGGACTGATTGGAAGTGGCACAGGTTCAGTCTCCAGCAGCAGCAGCGGCAGCAGCAGCATCAACAGCAGTAGGAGTAGCGTTGGGGTTGGCAGCAGAGAGGCTGCATTGGACGGGCAGAGGGAGGATGGCACTAACATTGCTGACAGTAACGGGAGAAATGTAGGGGACGGCAGTGACAGTAACGAGAGCGGTGGTGTGGACAGCAGCACGAGCAGCAGTGGTGATGGGCCTGGAGATGAAAATTCAGGTGAAAATTCAGGTAATGGGATAGGTGATGTGAAGGTGGATCAAGAGCAGCTGAAGCAGGAGCTGCTACAGGATGGGGCAGTGGAGGATGATGAGGTGGCAGGAATCCCGGATCTCACTGCTGACCTGGACGAATCCGAGTGGGCCAAGGCGTCAGCACGCAATCGGGAGCGGATAAGTGGGTCCACGTCAGCAGAAGCCGAGACAGGGGTGGGGGATATGACTGGTTCCAGAAGCAGCAACAGCAGCAGAATTAGCATCAGTGACAGGGAGAGTACCAGCAACGCCAGCTACAGTCACAGCAGCACCAGCCGCATTTTCCCAGGAGGGGAATTCCAGCAGCAGCAGCAACAGCGCGGTCCTGTGGTGGTATCAGGGTCGTTAGACAACTCGGATTTTGACTTCCCAATCGACGCTGCTGCTGCTGGTGCCGCTGCCTCACTAGCAGACGAGGAAAACGAGGACGACGGGGTGGAGAGAGGCGAAACCGGGGAAGGTGGGGGGATCGGGGCAGCCGGAGAAGCAGGAGGAGCAGGAGGAGCAGGAGGAGAGGGAGGAGAGGGAGGAGAGGGAGGAGAAGCCGAGGAGGAGGAAGGGGAGGGGGACGGGGACGGAGGGGAGGGGGACATAGAAGACGATGACATGGACTTGTCATACGATTCAGAGGACGAGTTAGAGGTTGTCCTGCTCCTCCGCATCCCTCGCAACATGGCAGAGCTCCGAGCTGTGCGAGCCACCCTCGCGCTCTACAAGCGAGAGTTCCCGCTCCGAGTCGTCGTCATTTTCGTCAATCTCTACCTCTTCCTGCAGTCGTTTTGCATCCCGGGGACTATTTGTATGAACCTGCTCGCCGGGTCGCTGTTCGGGTTTTTTCCGGGGTTATTCACGATCAGTATCCTGATTTCCGCGGGTGCCTGCGCGTCGTACACCATCTCCCACTTCCTCCTGAGAGACATAGTCTACTATTATTTCCCGGATAAGTGCGACTGGATGCGTACGGAGGTCCAGCGGCACTATACCTCTTTAATCTACTATGTCATCTCGCTCCGCATCACCCCCATCATGCCTACCTGGGTAGTTAATCTCTGCTCCCCACTCGTCGGCATACCCATCCGGATCTACCTCATTGGAACGTTCTTCGGGTTCATCCCCTCTAGTGTGATTCAAGTTAAAGCCGGGTGCGTGCTCTCGACCATTAACTCGCTCTCGGACCTCTACGACGCGCCTACTATTGCGGCTTTATTCCTAGTAGCCATATTGGCCCTCGTTCCTCCGCTCTCTAAGACCCTCTGGGCGCAGAGGCTATGGGCTCAGGCCATGAGCAACAGCACAGTAGCCGCTTTCGTCTCCTTTATAAGCAGCCTTGGTGTTAGCAACAGCGGGGTTGGCAGAGTGTCGTACTCCCCGTTACGGCCGCATTATAGCGGGATTGGGATGCACGGTGGGGGGGTTGTGAGCAGCGGTAGTGGGAGCAGTGGCGGCTGTGGCAGTGTGGGTGTGAGCAACAGAAGTGGTGGCGGCAGTAGCAGTGGCAGTGTGGGTGTGAGCAGCAGCAGCACGGGGGTTCAGTTGGAGGGTATGGAAGCAGGGATAAGACCATTGGCTGGGAGCAGAGCAGTCTCGGGGGCGCCCTGAGGGGAGTGTGACAGCAACAATGGCAGTGTGGGTGTGAGCAGCAGCAGCACGGGAGTGCAGCTAGAGGTCATGGAAGCAGGGATAAGACCACTGGCTGGGAGCAGAGCAGTGGCGGGGGCGCCCTGAGTGGGGAGTTGTGTGAGCATCAGTGTGGGTGTGAGCAGCAGCTGTAGCAGCCACTGTAGCACCACCACCAGCAGTGGCGGCAGCAGCAGCAGTGGGAGGGTGAGGGTGAGCAGCAGCAGCACGGGGGTGCAGCTAGAGGGTATGGAAGCAGGGATAAGACCACTGGCTGGGAGCAGGGCAGTGGGGGGGGTGCATGGTCAGTCCCCCTGAGGAGAGCAGGTGAAATGTCAGCAGCAGCAGCAGCAGCAGCAGCAGCAGCAGCAGCAGCAGCAGCAGCAGCAGCAGCAGCAGCAGCAGCAGCAGCAGCAGCAGCAGCAGCAGCAGCAGCAGCAAGGGGGTTCAGCTGGAGGGTATGGAAGCAGGGATCAGACTGCTGGCTGGGAGCAGGGCAGTGGGGGGGGGTGCATGGCCAGTCGCCCTGAGAGGCGTTTTGCAGCAGCGTCAGCAGAGGCAGAAATTCAACAGTACCAGCCACAGTATCAGCCACAGTATCACCCATAGCAGCAGCACGGGGGTCAGCTGGAGGGCATGGAAGCAGGGATCAGGCCATTGGCTGGAAGCAGGGATCAGGCCATTGGCTGGAAGCAGAGCAGTCGTGGGGGTGCATGGTCAGTCGCCCTGAGGGATCTGGGTGTGAAAGCAGCAGCAACGTTAGCAGTATCAGCCACAGCAGCAGAAGCAGCTGCAGCAGTGGTGGCTGCAGCAGCTTTGGCAGTGTGTGTGAGAGAGCAGCAGCAGCACGGGGATTCAGCTGTAGGGTATGGAAGCAGGAACCCGACCGCTAGCTGGAAGCAGAGCAGTGGGGGGAGTGCATGGTCAGTCGCTCTGAGGGAGGAGTTGTGTGCCGTGGTCAGGTCTGGGTGTGGTCAGGTCTGGGTGTGGTAGGAACTGATGCTGCAGCGTCGACAGCAAAAATGTCAGCAGTTGCAGCCACAGCAGCAGCTGCACCAGCAGCTGCAGCAGTGGTTGTTGCAGCGTGAGGAGCAGGAGCACAGGAGTTTGGTGGAGTTGAGTTGATAAAACTGATTGCTCCCATTGTGTGGTGTAAGGAATGGGTTGGTTGGTTTGTACTACTGTAGTGGCGGATTTCTTTTAGAGTCGGTTTTGCGCATGTTGCCTTTGGTTGCTTGTGCATGTGACTGAACATGTTTTGTTCGTGCAATCCCAGTTTGCAGTTTGCGCACATGGCTTGTGTTTTGCTCACGGAATCTCAACTGAGGAGCAACAGCTAGAGCTGGTAGGTGGATGAGAGTGTGCCTTGTCTCTGGCTGGTGGGATTTCTTGACCTTGGTTTTGAGACCACATTACCGGTACTTTTACGATGCTGTACTACCGTATGTTCTGCTGCAAGTGGAGTGGAGGAGGAGCCCTTGCAACCAAACCAATTACGTAATGTATATGTTACCAGAATAATGGCGCCCCTGCAGGCTTGGCTTCCCCCCATTGGCAAAAGCAACTTATAATGCAAACAGAGATATGGCTCTATGGCACTTTCATATCCAGCAGATTCTCCTGTACGTTATCAGAATATTTAGAAACGATTCTCCAGTTCCGTAGAAGACTCGGCAGTTTGAGAAATGTTGATAAATAATTAGGCTAATTGGAGGCAGGGTTTCCGTAACACTACAGAGGACTGTGCTGCAGCCTGCAGTGCAGCATAACAAGATATGTGCTCACCGGGCAGCATAATCTAACTTGATCCCCACCGGGCTGCGCTCCCTCCCGCCATTGAGCCAGCAATTCGGGTCTGTCTGAGCCAGCACAAATACCGCCCTCTTCACCGCATCGCACTGCACTTTATCACAACAGAATCACCACAGCCACAACCAGCAGCAGAACCAAACCCGCTCCCCTTCTCCCCCCCACCCCTTTGACCGGCCGATCAAAGTTGACCCTCCCTTTCAGCTGGCTGCCATACTCGCTGTAATTCGCTCCCTTGAGCCAGCACTTGAGCCGCCTGGGGTCCGCCTGAGCCAGCACACACTTATCATTCTTCTTCCACCGCTGCACCCTAAACCACCCTCTGCACCGCAACACACCGCACCGTACCGCATCACAACAACACCGCCGCAGCTACAACCAGCAGCAGAACCAAACCCGCTCCCCTTCTCCCCTCCACCCCTTTGACCGGCCGATCAAAGTTGATCCTCCCTTTCAGCTGGCTGCCATACTCGCTGTAATTCGCTCCCTTGAGCCAGCACTTGAGCCGCCTGGGGTCCGACTCAGCCAGCACACACCTGTCGTTCTTCTGACAGCGCTCCACACACGCTGCCGAGTCCAGCCCCTCGCCCCCCCCCACCTCCGGGCCCGTGTAATCCAAGTCCTTGTCCTTGAACCGAAACCCGTGTGGGGAGGAAAGAGGGGAGGGGGATTGGGGTGATGGGGGCCTGTGTAATCCAAGTCCTTGTCCTTGAACCGAAACCCGTACTCTGGGTTGGGGGGAGGGAGGGGAGGGGGAATGTCAGGGAGACGGGGAAGCAGGGAAATGGGGAAACGGGGAATGGGAATGGGAGGGGGAACGGGGTGATGGGGACCCGTGTAATCCGTGTCTTTTTTCTTGAACCGAAACCCGAACTCTGGGTTGGGGGAAGGAGGCGCAGAGAGACGTTGGGGAAAGGAGGGAGGAACTGGGGACAGGGGAGAGGAGGGAGGAAATGGGGACAGGGGAGAGGAGTGGGGAGGCGGGAGGGGGGATGAGGGAAGGGGGAAAGGCGGAATGCAGCTGAGATCTTCTTTTGGCTGAGATGTTCTCCAGCTGCACACACGCAGCCGAGATCTTCTCCACATCGCAATTTCCCACAAAAGCCAGGAACCCAAGGGGAGTGCTAAAGGTCTATCAATTCCCCTATTTTTGAGGCGCCTAAAAATAGTTTTCCACAAAAGCTAGGAACCAAAGAGGAGTGCCAAGATTTACCCATTCCCACACCCACCTTAAGGGTCGATGCATGTGTTGGGTTGCCCCTGCTGGCACAGCTGCTGCCCACACCCCCCCGTTCTCCACAGCAACACAGCAAGGGAGGCTCCTGCTGCCCCCCCGCACATACCTCCCTCTCTTCACCCACCTTTAGGATCGATGCATGTGTTGGGTTGCCCCTGCTGGCACAGACGCTGGCCGCACCCCCCGTTGTCCACTGCACACTTCTTGACAAACGCCAGGTATCCCGGCGCTGTGCTCACTGCTGTGCCATACTCCTTCTTGAGCACACACCGCTGCACGCACACCGGCACGGAACAAGATGAGAGGGAAAGGATTGGACTCGCAGGGACTCTCAAACGCCAGGTATCCCGGCGCGTTGCTTAGTGCTGTGCCATACTCCTTCTTGAGCACACACCGCTGCACGCACACCGGCACATTAAATTCACAAGGCAAAGCAACGGCTGAGAACTCTCAAAGGCGATTCCAATCGTCCACTGCCGTGCCATACTCCTTCTTGAGCACACAGCGCTGCACACGGAGCAACGTCAAAAGTGGGCTTGCAACAAGGTCAAAAGCTACTCCTCAGTCCACTGCCCTGCCCTGCCCTGCCGTACTCCTTCGTGAGCACACACCGCTGCAAAGGCTCATGCACACACACACAGACAGACAGCAGCATTGAATTCACAAGGCAAAGCAACGGTTGGAAACTCTCAAACGCCAGGAACCCAGGCATCGTGCTCACTGCTGTGCCGTACCCCTTCTTGAGCACACACCGCTGCACGCACACCGGCACAGAACAAGATGAGAGGGAAAGGATTGGACTCGCAGGGACTCTCAAACGCCAGGTATCCCGGCGCGTTGCTTAGTGCTGTGCCATACTCCTTCTTGAGCACACACCGCTGCACGCACACCGGCACATTAAATTCACAAGGCAAAGCAACGGCTGAGAACTCTCAAAGGCGATTCCAATCGTCCACTGCCGTGCCATACTCCTTCTTGAGCACACAGCGCTGCACACGGAGCAACGTCAAAAGTGGGCTTGCAACAAGGTCAAAAGCTACTCCTCAGTCCACTGCCCTGCCCTGCCCTGCCGTACTCCTTCGTGAACACACACCGCTGCAAAGGCTCATGCACACACACACAGACAGACAGCAGCATTGAATTCACAAGGCAAAGCAACGGTTGGAAACTCTCAAACGCCAGGAACCCAGGCATCGTGCTCACTGCTGTGCCGTACCCCTTCTTGAGCACACACCGCTGCATCCACGCATGCACAGCAACGAAGAAAGGGTTGATTGGATGGATGGTGGATTGAACTCGCACCAAGGTCAAAATCGAGTCCTCCTGTATGCCCGGCAGCACGTATTGTGCCGTGACGCACGGCCCGGGGTAGGCCTGGCAGTGGTGCACACATGCTCTGAGAGGCTCTACACAAGCACGCACGCACGCACGCACGCACGCACGCACGCACGCACTCAGTGGCGTCAATGCCTGTGATGATGGCGCCGATGGTTGCAGCAGCACTCATGCCACACGCACACATTCACCCACCTGGATGCCCGGCACATATTGCGCTGTGACGCACGGCCCTGGGTAGGTCTGGCAGCACCTGACGCACTCAGTGGCGCCAATGCCTGTGATGATGGCGCCGATGGTTGCAGCAGCACTCATGCTATGAGAGGCCTCCGCAGTGGGGTGCAGTGCGGTGGGGTGCGGTGCGAGAGTGGCATTGATGGTAGCATGCAGCACACATGCTTTCAGATGCCTCACAACTGTTGGTGCAACCCTACGGTTTGCACTCGGCTTGTTGTCCGTGTGCGTGCATGTGTGTGTGTATGGAATGGTATGAGGGCATGGGATAATATATATTTCATGCTTATAATTGTGTGTGAATGTTGAGTCATGATGTCGAGTGTGCGTGTCGAGTCAATAGCGAGTTATCGCTAGACGCGTGTTACGCGGTCGTTTGTGTCTCGCGCGCGGTTTCTATTTTGTCGTGCGCGGTTTCTATTTTGTCCTGTGTCGAACGTTCGGTGTGTCGCAGGTGTGTGCAGCAGACCCATCAAGAACTCAAGGATGAGTTTGTGATGAAGAGCCCGAGCCTTGGTGTCAAGCCTCAAGTGATTTCGAAGCTCGCCAAAATGGTACACCTCAAGATATTGAAGATAGTTACATTACTTTGTGTAGTGTAACATTTCACTTGGTGTAGGCCCTAGTGAAGGGTAGTTTCGAGACCCTTCGTGGTTGGGGACAGTGTGGCACTGTTCCACATCACTGTACCTCGGCTCTTGGGGTTTGTAGGAGCTGGGAGTCATTCCCAACTCGTAACTCTTCCTATCTTGTGTTCTAAGACTATAGTGGCTGCCATAGTACCGTTCGTTCAAACCGACGCTGTGTCGTCAATTCTTTATCAAATCGTGCAATCTAAATTGATAATTGTAGACGACGTGAAGACGCTCCAGATCCAATTTGAATCAAGTCATTTGCAGCTATGAGCAGAACGCTATCAACGTTTGAAGCCGCTGTGCAGAAATCCGTCTGTGCTCTCTATCTTTCGTTTTAGGCACATTCAAGCCTATTGTGACTATAACAAGTGGTATCAGAGCCCTTTGGAGCAGTTTCGACAATGTCTGGACCTGAGGAGAGGGGTGGCAGAGGTGCTGGTGGCAGTGGAGAAGCTCAAGCTCAAGGCCAACCCCGTGATTCAGCCATGGCGCCCATGCAACCAAGTCTTGGCCCACCTAGGGATGAGCCTAGGGTGTTTGGGCTTGACAAGTTCAACGGTGACAACTTTGCTGAATGGTCCTTCAAGATGGAGAACATCTTTGACCACTATGACCTGCTGGAGGTGATGGAAGGAACGGAGAAGCGCCCCGAGAACGACCCGGAGAAGAGCCCGTGGGTGCGGAAGAGCGCACAAGGCTATCTCTTACTTGGGCAAGCGTTGGGGAGCAGTCAGATCCGTCACATCAAGCCATTCCAACGTGAACCAGAGAAAGGACCAAAGGCATGGGCTGCTCTCAAGGGTGTACATGCTCCTGCAACAGCGGCGGTAGCGGTGGTGTTGGAACGGCAAATGGCGGCACTACGAATTGAAGAAGACGAAGCGGTTGAAGAAGGGGTGCAGAAATTCTTCGACTTGTTGACGCGGCTTGAGGGAGCTGATTTGAACTACAGTGAGCTCCAAAAGAAGACCAAGTTGCTGGCCTTACTCCTAGAGTCATGGTCCTCGCTCATCATCAATCTTAATCGCGACTTGCCCCGCCTCTCGCTTGAAGACGTGAAGCGAGCTATCCTTCAAGAGGATTTCCGCCGCCGTGAGTTGGCGAGTGCGGATGGCGCTGGGGCAGCGAGCATCGGCCGTGGATATGGTCGAGGAAGAGGCAGAGGAGGAGCGGGAGGAAGGTTTGGTGGCAGCAACTTCGGCGGAGGCCGCAGGAGTGGCGGTTACGGCAGCGACGACAAGAGCTACGGACGCGGTCGCGGCCGATTCGACGGCGAGTGTCACTATTGCCACAAGAGCGGACACATGTGGCGCGACTGCTACAAACTCCCTGATGGTTGGACCCCTGCTCAAGGCCAAGAGGGTAGAGGAGCAGGAGGAGGGAGAGGACGAGGCCGTGGAGGCCGTGGCGGTCGCGGTGGCGGAGCTGCAAACATGAAGAGCGGAGACAACGACAAGGACCCGAGCGACGATCGATACCCGGGTCTATTCTACTTCGTGTCGACGCAAGTACCGGCTGGTCCAGAGAAGGATGAAGGTTTTGAGGAGCCAGCAGCTGTGGGGAAGGTGACCCTACACCCCCTGGACTATTGGGTGATTGATAGTGGCGCTACCTATAGCATGACACCTCGCCCGGACTTGCTCACCGAACTCGAGCCGTCACCGGTGAAGCATGTCACATCGGCTTTGGGGCAGCGAGCAGAGGTGTAAGGCATGGGCAAGGCCATGTTCAAGGGTGCTGATGGGAAGATGGTGGGCCTCAAGAACGTGCTTTGGGTGCCCAGCCTTGCTGCAAACCTGATTTCCGTGCGGCGGTTGGCAAAGGCCGGCATGGACACGAACTCGAAGGGAGCCAAGACCTACACTGCAAGGCTTGGCGATCGAATTCTTTGGGACCTTCATGAGGACAGGGATGTCTACAACGAGATGTGGCAGATCCCAGTGGTCCCTATGCCTAAGGAGAGGCAAGTGACAGCAAGCATCAGCACCAAGGATGGAGCGGTCGGTAGCGACGATGGCGCGAACGGTCGCGCTAAGGAGAATGAGCTCAAGAAGAGCAAACCTGGAGGGACCAGCAAGTTTAGTGAACCTAAGGAGAGTGGTGCAGCAACCAAGGAGCAGCAAAAGGGTGAGGAGAACCCAGAGGCAGCAGCGGAGGAGGACTACGGAGAGAGTATGTGGGGCGCTATTGCGAGCGCGGCATTCTCCAATCCAACTTCGGCTACGGGGGAGTGTGATTGGCTCACCTTGCATCGGCGCATGGGGCATGTGGCCCTGTCCATCTTGCAGCAGCTAGTGAAGAATGAGATGGTTACTGGCATACGTGTGAAGGGGGAGCCCGATGAGGTGCTTGGCTGCCCGACGTGCATTCAAGCCAAGTTCACCCGGTTTCCGTTCCCTAGTTCGGAGGCAACGGCAAAGGCACCGCTTGATGAGGTGGTGATGGACGTGGTGGGCCCCCTGAAGCTCGGAGCTGCTGGAGCTGAGTATTTTCTCACCATTGTCGACGTCTACACCCGCATGACTTGGGTGTACGTGCTGGCCAAGAAGAGCGACGTGGCTGAAACGTTGAAGACGGATTGGTTCCCGATGGTGGAGCGGCAACAAGACCGTCTAGTCAAGTCAATCTGCACCGATCGAGGGGGAGAGTTCCTGAGCAAGGAGTTTGGGTTGTGGCTGAAGAAGAATGGTATTCGGCACTCCCTCACAATGCCATACTCCCCTGCAATGAACGGCATCGCCGAGCGAGCGAACCGCACAATCACGGAGGCGGCACGCGGGTTGCTCATTGAAGCCGGGCTACCCGACTATTTCTGGCCTGATGCGGTGCGGAGCGCGTGTGTGGCCAAGAACAGAGCCTTGACTCATGTGGGAGCAGACAAATGGGTGCTCTATGTGGAGTGGCTAGGAAGGAAGCCAAAGGTGGATATGCTTCGGGTGTTCGGGTGCATGTGCATGGCGCTCGTGCCTAAGCATCTTCGGCACAACAAGCTTGGTGCCAAGGTGGTGTGGGCCGTGCACTTGGGCATGGCTCAAAACAGCAAGGGATGGCTTCTTTGGGACCCATTCACCAAGAAGTTCTTGGTGAGCAGGGACTGCAAGTTCATGGAGAACTTCATGTACAAGGATTGGAAGGCGGAGAATGAGGCGAAGATAGGCGTGCGGTTTGGGGAGGTGAAGAGTTCCGGTTTGGAGCATGTGGAGCTGCCTTTGGAGCTGAGCAGCGGCAGCACAACCACAAGGCAATCCTCCCTTGTGAATGGGGGAGAGGAGGCCAATGATGCAGAGGAAGAAGAGGAGGAGGTGCAGCAAGTGAGCGAGCGTGCACCGTCACTCCCTTCCCGTACTACGAGTGCTCCACGGATTCGAGCCACACCGCAGCAACGCCAAGGCCTTCAAGTCCCTGCAGCTGAGGAGGAAGGAAGGGGGAAGAGGAGAGTTCAACCCCCTAATAGGCTGACCTATGATGCGCCGGGAAAGCAGGGCAAGACAGCCCTGGGCGGAGCGGCAATGATGGTCGGAGACGACGAGGAGAGTGACTACGAGGAGTGTGCCTTCGCGTTCTTCTCTCCGGTGGAGATGCCAGGAGAACCAACAACTCTCAAGGAGGCTTTGGAGAGTAGTGATGCTGAGGAGTGGAAGAAGGCCGTGGAGAGTGAGCTGAAGAGCATCGAGGAGAATGACACGTTTGAATTGGTGGAGCTACCGGAGGGGCGTACGGCGATAACGTCCAAGTGGCTCTTCAAAATCAAGTCGGATGCCGACGGCAAGATCGAGCGCTACAAGTCTAGGCTTGTAGCCAAGGGGTACCAGCAGAAGGAGAAGGTGGACTTCAAGGAGCTGTTTGCCCCTGTGGTGAAGCCGACGACGCTGCGAACCCTATTCGCGGGAGCCGCCATCAAAGGATGGGTAGTAAAGCAAATGGACATCGTAACGGCATTCCTTAACGGCATCCTTGAGGAGGAGATTTTTATGGCGCAGCCAGAGGGGTTTGATGATGGTAGTGGCAGAGTGTGGAAGCTGAAGAAGGCCCTCTATGGGCTGAAGCAGGCCCCTAGGCAATGGTACATGAAGCTGCGCGAAGTGTTGGAGGGGATCGGCTTCACTCCCTCAACGGCCGATCACTCCTTGTTCATGCTTGGCGAGGGGGAGCAGAGGAGTTTCATGGTGGTTTATGTGGATGACATCCTCATTTTCTCACCCTCTTCTGACCTTGTGAAGGAGGTGATGCTGAAGCTTCAAGACAAGTTCAAGTGCAAGGCCCTTGGTGACGTGAGCTTCTACCTTGGGCTCCACATCGAACGAGATGTGGAGAAGCGGTGCATGCGGGTGCATCAACGAAAGTACCTGGAGGCATTGGCTGCCAACTTTGGGCAGAGTGAAGGCCATGTGGCTACACCCTTTCCCTCTGGGTTCAAGTGTGTGAAGGGACCAGAGGAGGAGAGCGTTGGTGAAGAGGAGAGGCGCCGATTTCACTCGTTGGTGGGCAGCCTCATGTATGCGGCGGTAAACACCCGACCGGACGTCGCGTTTGCTACCGGGCAGCTGGCTAGGGTTGTGCAATGCCCTAATGAGGAGCAGGTAGCAGCTGGAATGAGGGTGGCCAAGTATCTTGGCCAAACACCGACCGTTGGGCTGCAATACTCGGCGGCGGCACAAAGGCGCCAAAAGGGTGCGGATGGTGTTGAACCCGGGCGTTTGTTCCTCACCGCCTACTCGGATGCTTCATATGCATCGGCACCAGAGGACATGACAAGTGTGGGAGGCTTCATATGCTGTGTTGGTGGAGGCCCAACTGCTTGGGAGAGCAAGAAGCAGGTTGACCAAGCTTTGAGCTCGGTGGAGTCCGAGTACATGGCACTCTTCCGTGCGGTACGGGAGATTGTGTGGCAGCGGCGTTTGTTGGCTGAATTGGGGGAGGAGCAGCAAGGACCTACCCCACTGTACTGTGACAGCCAGGGTGCCATTGCTCTTGCTAAGAACCCTGTGTTGCATGGACTCACGAAGCACATGAGGGTGAAGTGGCATTGGACGAGGAGCATGGTAACCGCGGGTGAAGTTGAGTTGCGCTACGTGAAGACCACGGGGCAGCCGGCTGACATGATGACCAAGAGGCTGGTGGAGCAGCAGCATTGGAAGTGTTGCAAGCTGGCTGGGATGGCTCTGAACTGAGAGAGCAACATATCCTAAGGCCAACAATCCGAGGGGGAGTTTGTTGGTGCAACCCTACGGTTTGCACTCGGCTTGTTGTCCGTGTGCGTGCATGTGTGTGTGTATGGAATGGTATGAGGGCATGGGATAATATATATTTCATGCTTATAATTGTGTGTGAATGTTGAGTCATGATGTCGAGTGTGCGTGTCGAGTCAATAGCGAGTTATCGCTAGACGCGTGTTACGCGGTCGTTTGTGTCTCGCGCGCGGTTTCTATTTTGTCGTGCGCGGTTTCTATTTTGTCCTGTGTCGAACGTTCGGTGTGTCGCAGGTGTGTGCAGCAGACCCATCAAGAACTCAAGGATGAGTTTGTGATGAAGAGCCCGAGCCTTGGTGTCAAGCCTCAAGTGATTTCGAAGCTCGCCAAAAGGGTACACCTCAAGATATTGAAGATAGTTACATTACTTTGTGTAGTGTAACATTTCACTTGGTGTAGGCCCTAGTGAAGGGTAGTTTCGAGACCCTTCGTGGTTGGGGACAGTGTGGCACTGTTCCACATCACTGTACCTCGGCTCTTGGGGTTTGTAGGAGCTGGGAGTCATTCCCAACTCGTAACTCTTCCTATCTTGTGTTCTAAGACTATAGTGGCTGCCATAGTACCGTTCGTTCAAACCGACGCTGTGTCGTCAATTCTTTATCAAATCGTGCAATCTAAATTGCTAATTGTAGACGACGTGAAGACGCTCCAGATCCAATTTGAATCAAGTCATTTGCAGCTGTGAGCAGAACGCTATCAACGTTTGAAGCCGCTGTGCAGAAATCCGTCTGTGCTCTCTATCTTTCGTTTTAGGCACATTCAAGCCTATTGTGACTATAACAACAACGTAGCCAAAACCACAGGCAGACAGACAGACAGGCAGACAGACAGACAGACAGACAGACAGACAGACAGGCACACACGCACCTGCATGCCGGGCACGTATTGCGCTGTGACGCACGGCCCTGGGTAGGTCTGGCAGCGCCTGACGCACTCAGTGGCGTCAATGTCCGTGATGATGGCGTCGTCAGGCACTAGCTCGCCCGTGAGATCCCACGAGGAGTTGGAGGGGGAGATGAACCCCATGGCTGGAAGGCGGGGAGGGGTGTGGGGTGGGGTGGGGTGGGTGGGGTGGGGTGCAGTGCGGTGGAGGGTGGTTAAGGGTGATGGCATCGTCAGGCACTAGCTCGCCTGTGAGATCCCACGAGGAGTTGGTGGGGGAGATGAACCCCATGGCTGCAAGGCGGGGAGGGGTGTGGGGTTCGGTGGAGAGCGGTGGAGGGTGGTTAAGCACACACGGCAGCGCCTGACACACTCAGTGGCGTTGATGTCTGTGATGATGGCGTCGTCAGGCACTAGCTCGCCTGTGAGATCCCACGAGGAGTTGGCGGGGGAGATGAACCCCATGGCTGCGTGGGAATGGGAGTGGGTGGGATGTGGGGTGTGGGGTGCATTAGGGTGGGGTGGAGTGCGGTGAAGGGTGGTTAAGCACGGGCAGAGCCGCACGCGCCCAGTAACGTCGATGTCTGTGATGATGATGGCATCTCCCGGCACCAGCTCCTTGATAGAAGTAGAGTTTTGAGACGTCTCAAAAGGCACCAGCTCCTTGATAGAAGTAGAGTTTTGAGACGTCTCAAAAGGCACCAGCTCGCCTGAGAGATCCCACGAGGAATGGGGAGCAGGGAGGGGTCGGAAATGGGAAGGGGGAACGGGAGGGGAAACGGGAGGGGGAAGGCGAAGGGAAGCGGAGGGGGAAAGGGAGGGGGAGGGGGAGGGAGCGGGGAATTGGGGCCAGGTTGGGGGGCGATGTGAGGACGAGGAGACGAGAGCCTTACAGGTCGAGTCGAGTCGTTGTAAGGAAAGCTGGCTGTAGCTGGTTCTAACAACGGCACTAGCCAGTACTAAAGAGGTGGCTTTTAGATTGCTGCTCGCCTAATCAGATGGCTGAAGGTACTCTACTAGTACGAGAATGCTCAGAACCTGCTCCGCTCGTGGTTTACTATTTACAACTACTTACAGGTCGAGTCGCTGCATCGGAAGCTGGCTCGCGGCGCGTTCGGGTCCGAGAAATCCGTCGGGCACGGCGCGCAGAGCGCCGCGCTGCCATTGGTCGACGTCGACGTGTTGACGCACGAGGACGAGAAGCACGGCAGCGCATACGCCGTGACGCCCGGGCTGCGCGCCGGCTGGCGATTAACGGCGGATTTTAACGCGCACCCGCCCGCGTCGTCAACGACGGCTAGGAGGCACTGCTCGCGGTCGTAGTTTAAGCACCGTCGCTGGCACTCCTCCGTGCTGATTGGTCCGTCTATGTACTCTAAGTCGTTCCCCGGATAATCGTACTTTGTCGATAGCAATGCGAGGCCGTACGGATTGGAGCCTAGAACCTCGCAGGTCTGCGCCGCGGCGCGCGGGAGGGACGTGAGCGGGAGGAACGGGGTGTGGCCGGAGATTACTATAACGAGGACAGCGAGGAGGAGTAATTTAGGGGACACTACTGGGTGGGCACCAGAGAGGCGATTGGAGCGAGAGGGGTGAAAGGAGGAGCGATGGGAGGGAGAGGAGGGAGAGGAGGAAGGGACCGAGGAGCGGAAATGGCTGTCAGAATAAATAAGGCCACGTTGGGAAATCCCCAGGAAATGGTTCTGCTGGAGATTAACACGTGGGTTCGGAATTTGATGCGAATAGGGAAATGGCGGAGCACGATTCTGGGTTGAGCTCTCTGCGCGTCGCGGAGCCATGGCGTAGGCAGGTCGTTGCGACGGGATACGGGTAACGTGTAACGTAAGGGGAGCGTGCGGGTATGGAGGTTGTCAGGCAGTCCCGGACGATACTTGTTCTAAATGGAAAAAGCGCGGCTTGGTAAGTGTTAGTTACCCTTCAGAACGGGAGACTCCCTGTGTGCTACTCTCGTAATGACACTTATTCGAGGTCGTGAGGCGTAAGTTTAGCCACGGAGCACAATTATCACCGTTGAGCACAATAATCGACGGTCAAGAATGGGAACGATTATTGCATGGTCTGGAAGAAACGACCACACAACGCGATCAGCGGGGAGAAAAGCGGGGAGCTCGGGTCCTAAAAATGCTCCACTGAACGATGGAGTAGGCTCGGTTTGCACAGAAATCTCCTCGCCCACTCGGGTTACTTTTCTCGTTTGTTTCGCGAAATCTCGTCAGGTCAGACCTGGATGTCGGCGACAAGGCTCGGCACTTCTGTGGTGGAAAGGTTTCTTTCGGTGCTTCGGTTCGGCACACCATCGAGCCAGCCAGCCAGGCTGTTCGCTTTCCGCGTCGCTGTTCGGTTCTGCAGGCTCGTCAGAGTGTCAGAGCTGCCTGGCGACGATACACGACGCGTTACGGTTGCCCGTAACTCTGTCGCAACTGTTCGATTTCCTTACAGCAGAATTCGGTGTGTAGTTTCTGGTTCACCCTGAAAATAGAGGTGCAAACTGAGTAGTAGAACGAAATTACACCGTAATTGTCGAGCTCTTCAAAGTGCAAGCAAAGCTCCCCAACACTAAACCCCGAGGTATTTCGGCTTCTGAGCTAAGTAGACATTTTGGCGTCTCATTTTTCTTTTAGGCTTCAAGCTAGGTAGTTCCACTCTATCCGTACCAGCTGTATCCCAGCTAGGCTGTCATCCCCCCTCCTCGCTCTTCCCTTAGGCCCCCAGGAGGAACGCTAGAGGGGTAACCAGAAGCAGATTTGGAAACGTTACAATTAATATATTCGAGTTTCAATCAGAAGCGAAACGATCGATCCGGCCGCAGCCATGACCGCTGAAGGGCCGTCGATGGCTGCTGCAGAGGCGGGGGTGGAAGGAGCGCCCGCGGGCGGAACGGCGGGCGGAGCGGCGGGAGGAGCGGCGGGAGGTGCGGCGGAAGCGGGGGTGATCTTCGTGTTGGAGAAGGCGTCGCTCGAAGTCGCCAAAGTCGGAAAGGTCTTGCCAACCCCTCCCCACATCCCCCCCCACCTTTACCCCCAACTTCTCTCCCCCACCTCCCTCTCCCCGTTAACCCCGCTTCCCTGTCGCCCCCAGGCATGCGTGCTGCTGAGCTGCGACGACCACGCCAGCCTCCTCGTCCTCCTCAGTTACTTATTCGCCATTATTCGCCAAAACCCCGAGCCCCATCTCCCCACACACCCCCCAGGCATGCGTGCTGCTGAGCTGCGACGACCACGCCAGTTTCCTTCTCTTCTCAACCCCCCCCGCTCTCCCCCCCCCATCTTCCCCCACTCCCGCACTTCCCCCACCCCACTCCCGCACTCCCCCCACCCCACTTCCGCACTGCCCCCACCCCACTCCTGCACTCCCCCCACCCCACTCCTGCACCCCCCCCACCCCGCCCTCCCCTCCGCCCCCAGGCGTGCGTGCTGCTCAACCGCGACGACCTCACCAGCTTACTGCGCCTCTCACTTGCCAAAACCCTCAACCCCCCGTACCTCCTGCTCCCCCTCCCCCCTTTCCTCCTCTCCCCCAGACATACGTGTTGCTCAACTGCGACGACCACAGCTTCCTCCTCCTCCTCAGTTACTGCGAAAACCCCCAACCTCAACCCCCTTCTCCCCGCTCCGCTCCTCTCCCCCTCGCCCCCACCCTTCGCCCCCAGACATACGTGTTGCTCAACTGCGACGACCACGCTAGATTCCTCGTCCTCCTCAGTTACTTCTTCGCCAAAACCCCAACCCCCATCCCCCCTGCCCCCTTTCCCGCACCCCCCAGACGTACGTGTTGCTGAACTGCGACGACCACGCCAGCTTCCTGCGCAAGCACGGCAAGGACCCTGCGCTCTACCGCCCGGACATCTGCCACCAGGTGGGAAGTGGTGGGAGTAGGTGCTACTGGATTTGACTAGGTTCGAGAATGTGTATCGTGGTTGAGCAGGGCTGTGGCAAGAACGGCAAGGACCCCGCACTCTACCGCCCTGACATCTGCCACCAGGTGCGGTGCGAGTAGGTTTGACTCGGTGCAAGCACGGAAACCACCCCGCGCACGGAAACCACCCCGCGCACGGAAACCACCCCGCGCTCTACTGCCCTGGCATCTGCCACCACGCCCTTCCACTCCCAGGCGCTACAAGCTATCTTAGACAGTCCTCTGAATAAGGCTGGAAGGTTGAAATCCCTCTATGTGGCCACCACGCGCAACACACTCGTCCAAGTCAACCCCCACATCCACATCCCCCTCTCTCCTTCGAATGCATGTCCATCCCCCCCACTCCCAACAACCCACAGGCGCTACTAGCGATACTAGACAGCCCGTTGAATAAAGCTGGAAGGCTCAAGGCTCTCTACGTGGCGACCACACGCAACACACTCATCCAAGTCAACCCGCACATCCGCATTCCCCGCACGTTCCGCCGCTTCTGCGGCCTCATGGGTAGGTTTTGGGGGGAGGAAGGGGAAGGGGTGAGTGGGATTGTGTGCGTGGGCGGGTGGGGGGGTAGGTGGGTGGGTGGGCAGGGTCGGTAATTGAGGGGCCTGAAACGGCAACCCCCACATTCTCATCCGCGCACGTTCCGCCGCTTCTGTGGGCTCATGGGTGGGTGGGGAGGAAGAGGAGGGGAACAGATGGGTGGGTGGATTCGTCGTGGGCTGGTGGGGGATTGGGTGGCAATTGAGAGTTCTCAAGAAGGGGCAATTGAGAGTTCTCAAGAAGGGGCAATTGAGAGTTCTCAAGAAGGGGCAATTGAGAGTTCTCAAGAAGGGGCAATTGAGAGTTCTCAAGAAGGGGCAATTGAGAGTTCTCAAGAAGGGGCAATTGAGAGTTCTCAAGAAGGGGCAATTGAGAGTTCTCAAGAAGGGGCAATTGAGAGTTCTCAAGAAGGGGCAATTGAGAGTTCTCAAGAAGGGGCAATTGAGAGTTCTCAAGAAGGGGCAATTGAGAGTTCTCAAGAAGGGGCAATTGAGAGTTCTCAAGAAGGGGCAATTGAGAGTTCTCAAGAAGGGGCAATTGAGAGTTCTCAAGAAGGGGCAATTGAGAGTTCTCAAGAAGGGGCAATTGAGAGTTCTCGAGAAGGGGCAATTGAGAGTTCTCAAGAAGGGGCAATTGAGAGTTCTCAAGAAGGGGCAATTGAGAGTTCTCAAGAAGGGGCAATTGAGAGTTCTCAAGAAGGGGCAATTGAGAGTTCTCAAGAAGGGGCAATTGAGAGTTCTCAAGAAGGGGCAATTGAGAGTTCTCAAGAAGGGGCAATTGAGAGTTCTCAAGAAGGGGCAATTGAGAGTTCTCAAGAAGGGGCAATTGAGAGTTCTCAAGAAGGGGCAATTGAGATTTCTCAAGAAGGGGCAATTGAGAGTTCTCAAGAAGGGGCAATTGAGAGTTCTCAAGAAGGGGCAATTGAGAGTTCTCAAGAAGGGGCAATTGAGAGTTCTCAAGAAGGGGCAATTGAGAGTTCTCAAGAAGGGGCAATTGAGAGTTCTCAAGAAGGGGCGATTGAGAGTTCTCAAGAAGGGGCAATTGAGATTTCTCAAGAAGGGGCAATTGAGATTTCTCAAGAAGGGGCAATTGAGAGCTCTTCTTGATCGATAGATATCTCCTAGGTGCCTGAAATGAAACGTCATCCCCCACATGTAATGAGGTTGTTTTTGAGTCGACTCAAAAGTCAACTGAGACGTCTCAAAAGTCAACTGAGACGTCTCAAAAGTCAACTGAGACGTCTCAAAAACAACCTCATCAAACGTCATCCCCCACATCCGAATCCGCCGCCTTTTCCGCCGCGTCGCGTCGCCTCTGCATTTTGATAACGCTTTTTGTTGCCGCTTCCTCTACTCCACTTTTTCCCTTTCACTGCTCTTTTTTTCCTCCTCATCCCGCTTTTGCACTTATCCTTTCCTCGTCTCTTCTCCTCCTCCCTCTATTCCAGCTTTCTTGCTTACATTCCCTCTCTCGGCGATATCTGAGTCACCTTGAGAGAATCTTCACAAGTTCCTTTCTCTCAGATCATTTTTGAGTCGACTCAAAATGTGTCGTGTGCCATGGTAACGAGGTGACTTTTGAGTCGACTCAAAATGTGTCGTGTGCCATGGTAACGAGGTGACTTTTGAGTCGACTCAAAATGTGTCGTGTGCCATGGTAACGAGGTGACTTTTGAGTCGACTCAAAATGTGTCGTGTGCCATGGTAACGAGGTGACTTTTGAGTCGACTCAAAATGTGTCGTGTGCCATGGTAACGAGGTGACTTTTGAGTCGACTCAAAATGTGTCGTGTGACATGGTAACGAGGTGACTTTTGAGTCGACTCAAAATGTGTCGTGTGCCATGGTAATGAGGTGACTTTTGAGTCGACTCAAAATGTGTCGTGTGACATGGTAACGAGGTGACTTTTGAGTCGACTCAAAATGTGTCGTGTGCCATGGTAACGAGGTGACTTTTGAGTCGACTCAATAGAATCTTCACAAGTTCCTTTCTCTCAGATCAGTGCAGTTGTTGCAATTGCTTCCCATCTTCCACCCTAAACCTTGACCCTTAAACCCTCTCTCTCCTTCGATCCTTCTCCTTTCCTTCAAGCTGCTCAAAAAGATTTTTGAGGCGCCAAAAAAATTCCTTCAAGCTGCTCAACTATGTGGAGAAAGACGCTGGGGCAGCCCTGCGTCCTGCGTCCGGACGCAGCGTCCGGACGCAAAGACGCAGGACGCGCGTCCGGACGCAGGACGCACCCTGGAAATTTTTTCGGGCAGACCGAGATTTTTTTTTTTTCGCGATCGCGAAATTGACATTCGCGATTTCGTCGCGAAAGTCAATTTCGCCGAAATTCGACACCCCCCAAGCAAATTCGACCCCCAAAACCAGCCATCTAATTCACCCCTAACCCCCTCCCCTTTTTGCAAAATTGATTTGGAAATCCAACCCCTCTCCACCACTCCACAACTAGGAAACCCAACCTTTGTGGTCCACCACCCCCACAAAGCCCATTTAGTTCATGAAACCTCTCATTTGTGCTCCCTTTTCTCACAACCCAATTCTCTTTCAAAAACCCTAGTGGTTTTAGCTCCTTTCCGCGCACCACCGTTATGGCTAGCTCCTTGTGTTCGCGACCTTGTGTTCGTTGCGCACAACTGGAACGTTGTGCACAACCACCACAAGGGTGCGGCGGGTGCGGGGCCGAGTGGGGAAGTCAGGAAGGCGGGAATAGTGGAGGGGAACATTCCCCCCCGACCCCTTCCCGAGGGGTACAAGCTTGAGGAGGATGGAGAGGTGGAGGTGGATGAGGATGACCTCACCTTCGACGAGTACAAGGAGCAGGAGGATTTGGAGAAGGAGGAGGAGAAGGGGATGGAGAGCGAGGAGGATGAGTGATGCATGTTAGTTAGTGGTAGTATGCATGCATGCTAAACAACCCTTGGACTAATTGTGATTATGGAAATTTGGGGCTCACCTTCATGTTCTATTGTTGTGGCTGAAATTTTGTTGTTGAGGAGAAATTTTGCTATGAAAGTGTGTTCCCCCCCCCCCCCCCCCCCCCCTCTTACCCCCTCTTCCCTCTGCCCTATAACTTTTTTTTGGCTGCCCGGGGGGTTTTTTTTGGCTGCCCGGACCTGCGTCTTTTGCTGCGTCTCGGGGGCCCTAAACTAGCGTCCAGCGTCTGGACGCATGCGTCTGGACGCATGCGTCCAGGACGCTGGACGCGTCTTTCTCCACATAGCTGCTCAACACAGTTAAGCTGCTGCAAAGTAAACTCTTTGTTTCCACTTCTCCACTTTTCCATTATCCTTTGCTCCTCCTTCCCTCCCTTCCCAACAGTTCAGCTGCTGCAGAAGCTATCCATACGCGCTACAAACGGGCCTGATAAGCTCCTCAAGGTCATCAAGCACCCCGTCACCAAGTACCTGCCTCCGGGAAGCAGGAGAATAGGTGAGCCTCTTGTTGTGCCGCCGTGAATCTGGATCACACTCACCACCCTCCACCCTTCACCCACCTCCCACCACTGCTGCGCTCCTCAACGTCATCAAGCACCCACCCCGTCACCAAGTACCTCCCGCCTGGGTGCCGGAGAATAGGTGAGCTTTTGAAAATGATACCCACTGAATAACTCTTTCACCCACCACCACCAATCCCCATGCCCCATCCCCATCCCCCAGCCCCATGCCCCAGCGCCATGCCCCAACCCCCATGTCCCAGCCCACATTCTTACAAAAGCTCTGTCCCTCACCCCAGCATAGTGACTTTTGAGTCGACATAAAAGCCAGCCCCATGCCCCAGCGCCATGCCCCAACCCCCATGTCCCAGCCCACATTCTTACAAAAGCTCTGTCCCTCACCCCAGCATCCACCCTTCCCATGCCCCACGCCAACCATGTGCATCCCACCTCGACACCCCTCTGCACCGCACTGCACTCACCCAGTGCCCGGCGTCTTCCAGCATGTGCATCCTCACAGCAGCGCCATGCCCCATGGCCTCCTGCTCCGCCCCCACCCACTATCCACTGAGTCTCCCACTGCCTCCTGCTCCGCCCCCACCCACTATCCACTGAGTCTCCCACTCTCCCACTGCCTCCACCAACAATGCATCTGAAACACCTGTAATCCCCTCTCACACGCCTAGAGATGCCCAGGAACCACACAGAACCGCACTGCACTCACCCAGTGCCCAGCATCTTCCAGCACGTGGGCATCCTCACAGCAGCGCCATGCCCCATGGCCTCCTGCTCCGCCGCCACTATCCGCCGAATATTATCCCGTGCCCATCGGTGCAGTGACCTCTCAGCTCTGAGGAAGTTGATGTGCCCTCCCTCTGGCACTCCCTCTGGCACTCCCTCTGGCACTCCCTCTGGCACTCCCTCTGGCACTCCCTCTGGCACTCCCTCTGGCACTCCCTCTGGCACTCCCTCTGGCACTCCCTCTGGCACTCCCTCTGGCACTCCCTCTGGCACTCCCTCTGGCACTCCCTCTGGCACTCCCTCTGGCACTCCCTCTGGCACTCCCTCTGGCACTCCCTCTGGCACTCCCTCTGGCACTCCCTCTGGCACTCCCTCTGGCACTCCCTCTGGCACTCCCTCTGGCACTCCCTCTGGCACTCCCTCTGGCACTCCCTCTGGCACTCCCTCTGGCACTCCCTCTGGCACTCCCTCTGGCACTCCCTCTGGCACTCCCTCTGGCACGTCCTCCACTAGATGCCTGGGGGGGCTTTTGAGTCGACTCAAAAGCACTCCCTCTGGCACGTCCTCTACCCGATGCCTGGGGGGGTTTGGGTGGGAGGGTACCACCACCACCCACCACCCAGCACAAATCATCGATCCTTTTGCCTTGGTGTGCTCACCTTGTGCATTGAGGTCGTTTTTGAGGTGCCTCAAAAACGACCTCAAATCATCGATCCTTTTTTGAGTCGACTCAAAAATCGCCTCAAAAACGACCTCAAATCATCGATCCTTTTTTGAGTCGACTCGAAAACCGCCTCAAAGACGACCTCAAATCATCGATCCTTTTTTGAGTCGACTCGAAAACCGCCTAAAAAACGACCTCAAATCATCGATCCTTTTTTTAGTCGACTCGAAAACCGCCTAAAAAACGACCTCAAATCATCGATCCTTTTTTGAGTCGACTCGAAAACCGCCTAAAAAACGACCTCAAATCATCGATCCTTTTTTGAGTCGACTCGAAAACCGCCTAAAAAACGACCTCAAATCATCGATCCTTTTGCCTTGGTGTGCCCACCTTCTCTAACGCGCCTCCTCTCCCTTTCCTCCCCTCTTCCTCTCACCAGGCTTGGACTACAGCGCACAGAAGGTGGTGCATCTGCGACAGTTGCTATGTCTTTCTGTGCCTTCCCCTCCTGACCTCTGCTCCTTCTGCTCCTCCCCTCCTCACCCTCCCTCCTCGCATCAGGCTTGGACTACAGCGCACAGAAGGTGGCGCATCTGCGCCATCCCCCTTATTCTTCTGCTCCTCCGCTCCTCTCCTCTCCGCTCCCCTCCTCCCCTCCCATCCTCTCCCCTCCCCACTTCTCCCCACCTCGCATCAGGCTTGGAGTACAGCACACGGAAGGTGGTGCATCTGTGCCAATCTCGTTGCCTTGTTGTGTTTCCCCTCCCGACCTCCTATCCTTCACCTCCTCTCTTTCCCTGCCTCTCTCTCCCTCCACACCAGGTTTGGAGTACAGCCCACAGAAGGTGGTGCATCTGCGACAGTTCTAATGTCTGAGTGTTTCTCGCCCCCTGCCCTCTGCTCCTTCTGCTCCTTCTCCTCCCCTCCTGCTCCTCTGCTCGATCCCCCCCTCGCATCAGGTTTGGAGTACAGCGCACAGAAGGTGGTGCATCTGCGACAGTTCTTGTGACTTGTGTGCTCCCCGCTCCTGACATCCTCTCCTTTCCTCTCCCTTGCTCCCTCTTTTCCCGCCTCTCCCCCCCTCGAATCAGGTTTGGAGTACAGTGCACAGAAGGTGGTGCATCTGCGACAGTTCTTGAAGACAACCAACTCAGAGACGCTAGTCTTTGTGGTGAGCCACAAACACTTGTTGCTCTGTGGTTGAAGTCAGTTTTGAGAGTTTCCAAAAGGAGTACAGCGCACAGAAGGTGATTCGACTGCCTCAGTTCCTCAAGACAACCAACTCCGAGACACTATTCTTTGTGGTGAGATTTACAAAACTCATGATTCTGTAATCTCCTCCCTTCCCCTCTTCCTCTTCCCTCCTCTCCCCCACCCCCTTTCCCACACCCTCCCCCCCTTTTTCCCACAACCTCCTCTCCTTTCCCACCACCTTCATCCGCACTAAAAAAACTCGTTATTTTTTCTTCGTTGGTATTTTTGTTATGCTTCTCCTTCCCCACTCCCCATTTCGTCCTTCTTTGCGGTACATCAGGTGGGGGCGATGGCTAGCGGTGACATCAGCAGTGACTATGTGGACGAGATGATTGCAGGTGAGTTGAGAGCGGTGGGAAGGGGTGAGGGGGAAGGCAGCATGGATGAGTGGTCAGTGGTGCTGGCATGGGGACATCAGCAGTGACTATGTGGACGAGATTATTGCAGGTGAGAGGAGGGGAAGGGGGGGAGAGGCAAGATGAGAGGTGGGGATTGGTGGCAGCACTTGAGGAGGGAGGGCAAGAAAGGTGCTGATGGCTAGTGGGGACATCAGCAGTGACTATGTGGACGAGATGCTTGCATGTGAGTGGAGGGGGGCGGGAGGGAAGGAGAGGGGAAGGAAGGATGATCGCAGGTGAGTTGGTTTGGTAGAGGAGGGCATGGGATTGCACATGTGTGGGCGCAACTAGCCTTCCCTTCTCTAGTCTAGTGCGTCTGTTGAACCGATTTTTCCCAACCCTTTCCCTTCATCGTTTGCTGCCCAGGTTTTGTTCTCCTCTTTCGTCATTTTTTGAAAGTTTTGCCTTTCTGCGTCTCCCTTGTTTCCTGTTTCCCTTCCTTTCCCCATTTCTGTCACTTCACCCCGTCAGTTTCGGAATACCCACTGAGCGCAGCCACTTGCTTGTCTCGCCTATGTACTACGTTGGAACTAAAGTGGGGCATCTTATAGGCTGTACATTGGGGGCAGTATAAGTTTTGATTGTTCAACATTATTGAATAAATGGGGCGAACAGTGTTTGTGCCGTATCCTCGTCCGGCAAAAGTACTTTACACCAACTGTTCTGCGTAAATGTAAATGTACTCCTACCTTAATTTGGAGCTAGCAAAGCAATATTATGTACACGCCTTTTATTCACTCGTTCAAGCTGATATCGGATCGCTGTCGTTATCAATGGCAAGCTCTTTGGAGGCTGTTGGTGCGTTACTCCCACAGTGCAGCGACTGCAAGACATGTTGCAAGCGCACGTGGTTCGAGCCAGAACGCTGCGAGGCGCCGTTGTGAGTGGAAGTTGCGAGGAGCAACCTATCCCAATGCTGACATCATGATTGAACTATCTCGGTCAGTATCTATTTCTTTTAGTTAGTGTGTTGCTACACTGTATATATCTACAGAGGTTTTCTGCAAAACGGTTCTGGTTGCTTGAACTTCTGAGGAACTAGGGCAGGGTATGTTATATGAAGGTGTTAAAGAAGTGTATTTGTCTGCCCAAGCTTGCCTTGTTCCGAATGTGCGATTGGCGGCGGCCTTCAAAACCAACAACGTCATCGTCCCTGCACGGGTGCTTACTGAGGATGGCTGACCGTTGCCTGCCATCCTCCTGGACGGCTGAAAAATGTTGACTGATGCTTAGGCATTTGTCGGTATGGAAGAGTGTTCTCCTTTTCCGTCATCCCGTCCCTCTTGGCCACACTGCTCGTTCCGCAGGACCTGCAATCCCCCAAACCCTAGCTCCGCTCATCCTCCCCAGCTCCAAGGCATCCGCTGCGCGGAAGCATGAGTTGGGAGGGAATTTGGGAGGGGAGGGGAGATACAATACACGCCCCGCCTTGTGTGCAAATGCGCACAAACGTTCCTTTTCTCATGGGTAATTACCTTCTGGGTAACTCACATCGAGCCCGCTGACGTCAAAAGTTACCTACGTGGCTCGATGGTACCCGTCAGATCATGCGCGCCCCTTCGTGGTACCCATCTTCCCTCCGTGGTACCCATCTTCCCTGCGTGGTACCCATCAACTGTGCGCGAATTCCCTGACTGGTACCGCAACATTTCAACCGAGCTGTACACCGTACACCAAGAGTTTCAATGCGTTTCTCAGTATATTGTCTTAACGTTTACAAGCTCAATAGAGTCACAAGCCCGAAGTGCCACCTGATCGAGTCAATTTATCACACCCATTACCTATAATAAAATGTAGAAGAAAAGCTGGATTCTTAAATAAAATAGCATTCATTGGGTAGATTTGTTTAGGCTAAGAAACATCGACAATATAACGTGCTATAAGATAACGTAAAACTGATATATTGCATCAACCGAAAAAAAAACATCCGTATAGCAAACAATCAACTTACACGTAAAGTATATATTGACTTAAGGTATATTTGATTTTTATTATATGTATTGTTTTGTTTCCAAAAACCAACGAATGTACGTATTATTTGTTTATGATTTTATGTTTAGCTTTGGGGGTGCATGCTCAATTTATTTGCATACAACCTTATAAACTTTGTTCAAATAACATACTGAGCGCTGCGAAACATGGTCGCAAGATTCACTCTACCTGTCGTTCAGTGGTGTGAGCTTACGAAGGTTCGGAGGTAATGTGAGGATTTTAGAAGAGGAGTTGATTTCTTTCTATGTTGCACTCTGTCCAGTGTAAGGCACGTTCAAACATTTATGTTCAAGGGTATTAATGTTCAATAAGAGTTTGTAAACGTTGTTATTAATATACTGAAAAACGCATTGAAACCCTTGTTGTACAGTGTACAGCTCGGTTGAAATGTTGCGGTACCAGTCAGGGAATTCGCGCACAGTTGATGGGTACCACGCAGGGAAGATGGGTACCACGGAGGGAAGATGGGTACCACGAAGGGGCGCGCATGATCTGACGGGTACCATCGAGCCACGTAGGTGACTTCTGACGTCAGCGGCTTCGATGCTGGTTACCCAGAAGGTAATTACCCTTTTCTCATCCCCACCTTCGCCCTCCCCCTTCCCCCATGTGATTCACCCTTCCGATAACGACGTCCACCCTTCGCGCCCTCTCCACCCATGTGCCCCAGTTTTAGCAGTCCACAGTTCGGAATTCCCTGCTCGGCTGGTGAGGTCACCTACAACCCGAAATTACTGATTCGGCATCTCTAGCTATGGTTCGTATGTAGGCTGACTGATGCACAATCCTTCCTCTGATTCAAACCTGGTCGAGGTTACAAACCTTTTCAGCAGAGGGTGGCATAAAAAAAACCATGGTACTTCTCCTGGTTTCGTCTCTGCTTCTCGTCCCTGCTTGCTGATGCTGCTCTCCCTCCATCCACCTTCCCATCGCCTTCGGTTTCCTGTGTCCTCAGCATCCCCCGTCCTGCCGCCACCTGTGATGTGAGTGAGTGGGTCCCTGTCCCGCGGCTCACTCTCTCCATCCCTTCAGCCGACTGACACTGCCTCGGGCCATGACCGTGAGAGTCTCTCACAGCTCACTGAGAATCCGGCTGTCCGTGCTTCTGTCCCCTCCCACTGTTCATAAGAATGGACTCCGTTTCTTTTCCTTCCAGCACAGCAAAGTGCAAGTCAGAACAGCCGCTGCTCCCAGAAGCACCCACCCACACAATCGCGATTTGCGCAAGACACGGTCGGCCAACTGGCTGGATAAGAACCGTGACCGACGCTTGAAGGTTCTCACCCCGACACACGCAATCTTTCTCCGCTGGGTGCTGCTACCTACTGCACTACACGACTACTGTAATAGAATATAGTCTCCACGGTTACTGCGGGTCCCACTCGTTCGCCCATGTGTTTTTTTTAGTTCTCTCACCGTCCCCCCACCTACCTCGCGGTCTTGCTTTAATCGCACGCAACACTTTGGAAAGTCGAAGGAGACTACTCCCAACACGTGCCAATCGCGCCACGTGCTCCCGCAGCGCCCTTCCCAGCCGTATAAAGCCGTCATTTACTCACGTTGAAAACCTCGAATCGCTGCCGTCGTCGTCAACTGATCACAGAGCAGGCCAACTGCAAAATTACGGGAGATTGAACGCACCGTCGCAATAATTTCGGGAGACGAAGAGACGAAAAACAAAAAGAAACTGCAAAATTGCGTTTGGTTCTTCCACCCTTCGCGACGGAGCGAAGCCTGTCAACCTGGCGACTCTAACTCTTCCCATGATGCCAGCCAGACTGGGGATTTTTCCACCGGCGCCCGACTGGGAGCAACAGACGCTCGAATCGCCGCAACCCCCGCCACTTCTGTCGGACGTCGCGCCGCCTCCTTCCGCAGAGACTGAGGCGACACCTGCGACTGCGACAGATGACGACGACGACGACGACGACAGCATGTTACCACCCGGGTTTCGCTTCCACCCGACGGACGAGGAGCTTCTATGTTACTACCTTCGGCGACGCGTGGACAACCGTCGCATAAGCTTCAATGTGATGGGCGACATCGACTTGTACAAATTCGAACCTTGGGATCTCCCCTCGCGCGCTTCGAGCCCCCTAATGGGAAACGACGAATGGTTCTTTTTCACGCCGCGCGACCGGAAATACCCGTCCGGGCTGCGGTCGAATCGCGCCACGCCTGCGGGGTATTGGAAGGCGACGGGGAAAGACCGGCCCGTGTTCGCCGCGAATCGCGGTGGAGGAGGAGGGAGCTCGAGCAGTGGCGGTGGAGGTGGAGGTCCCGGCGCGACGACGGTTATTGGCTTTAAAAAGACGCTCGTTTTCTATCGGTAAGGACGACTCGCGTTTCATCGTGTCACGGGTTCGAAGTTGCTTGAAATGAAACCCCTTCGTGTACCACCAAACTCCCGATTCCAATTGTTGTTTGGTTCGACACTTGGAGCGCATTGTATTTGAAACTCGATTTGTTCAAATTCTCAAGTTTGGTTGTGTTTGAACCTTCTCGAGTTCCAATCTAATTAGGGTTTCGCGGAGAAAAAGACGCGAGTTTTCGCTGGTAGCGGCGCATGTCTTTCGCATCCACTCGCAGTGACTTTTGCTTTCACTGTGCGACAAGCCTAATTTTCCTTAATCGCTGTTTTCCTTGCGTTCCTCTCCGTCCCCCTCATTCCCCATCCCCCCGTTTCCTATTCCCCTCACAGCGGGCGTGCGCCAGCGGGCGAGAAGACGGACTGGGTGATGCAGGAGTACCGCCTACCCGACAGCTCCGACGACATCGCCAGCCTAATGCTGCCAGCCGGCAGTTCCGCCGGCTGCGCTGACGTCACCATTGCTGCGCCGCCGTCCCCGTCCGCGTCGGGCTGGCAGAGCGCAAGCGGCCCGTCGGGAATGACTCTGTCGCAGTGGGTGGTCGTGCGCGTGTACACGCGCGGAGCGCCTCCGCAGCAGGCGCAGCCTGGGCAGGGCGGCGGAGGAAGCGGGGGGCGACTAACAACGCCAGGGGGCTTGGGCCACGCGCTCCAGGCGCACGCGGAAAGAGCCGCGGGAAAGCCGGGGAAAGCGGGAAAAGTGGTGGGAAAGTCGGAACCAGAGGAGGAGTCAGAGCAGCAGCGGATGATTTTGGACTCCGGCGGCAGCGGCGGAAGCGGAAGCTTCCTGTTCGGAGGTGGGCTTAGCGCGGAGAGGGGGGAATTGGGCTCCGTTCCGCAGTCTCCGCTCGTGTCCCCGCGCCTGCCTCTTCAACAGGTTCACTATCCGATCAGTCCGCGTCAACCTTCCGCGAGCACGAGCACGACCTCTGTTGTTGCCGCAGGAGCTTCCGCTTCTACATCCGCTGCTGCTTCCGCCGTTGCTTCCGCCAAATCTGGTGCAGGCGGAATTGTCCCAGTTGCAGCCCTCGGACCTGCGCCTGGTTCCGCTCTCAACAGCCTCCGGAAACTTTTTTCTGCCCGGTCGTCGCAATCCGCACCCCTGCCCGTGCTTCAGAGCAGCGCTGCGCAAGATCTCAATAAAGGGTCTCGCGGAATTGACAGGGCAGTTACTGTAGCAATCGGAGATTCTTCCAACCAATCAGCTTCGAAAGCTATTTCTGGTCTCGAGAATCAAGTCGGAGGAGGTTTGGGTCGCACAGGTTCGGGAGGTTTGACCAACCGTTTGAATTCGGGCCTTTTGCTTGGGGCGATGTCGAACCTGACTCGATTCAGCTCGCCAGCAATCCCAAGGGGCAATTCTTGCCCATCCGACATAACTGCAGGCCTGGGTTCGAATCCTGACGGGCGCATTTCAACACTGGCAAGAGCGCAAAGCTTGGCACAATCCGCTGTTATGGAGGAGGTGGGCGAAGGTGAAGAAGAGAGCCAGGGGAAGGTTGAGGGAACCCAGAACAGGGCAGAGGCGCAGATGGCAAGCGGGCGAAAAGACGGGCAAAACAACGGGCAGGAAAAGAAGCAGGAAGGTGGAGGAACCGACTCCGCAGAGGCCTTCTCGAAGCTTCTTGCCGAGTATGCGGCAGAGCAGAGAGACAACAACGGGCCTGCGAATATTCTCTCCTGGCAGACGGACCCAGCAGCCACCGCAAGTGTGTTTCCTGCAAGCCAGGAACAGCAGATGCAGCCGAGGGAGGAGGCACAAGGTACAGGGCGGTGTGAGGGGACTCAGGAGACTCATGGAGAAGAGAGAGCGGACGCTCAGGCTGCTGCTGGGGAAGCGTCTGAGAAGCAGCACAACCAGGTCCAGCAACATGAGAAGCAGGTGAGACCGATGCTACGTCGCCTGCAGCGGTCAAACGCTGCCGAGATTGAGCCTCTGGAGGACCTGATTTTCCCACAGAACCCTTCAAGCCAGCTCCTGCAGCAGCCGCATCAACAGATCCAGCAGCAGGAGCAACAGCAGCCCACAATCTCTCCTGCTCTGACCCCAGGCCTTGGAACCCCATCCGCATCAACCACTCCCCTCCCCGACCCTTTTCTGGCTGTGCCGCAGCTGCCAACCCCGTCCACCACTCTAACCACTCCGGGCATGTCTCGAGATCTTCTCGCACTTGAAACCCTAATGACGCCTATGGACCTCACTGCTACTGGCTGGTGGGCTGCTTCGGATGCTGCTGCTGCTCTTGCTCCTGCCGGCGCTGCTGCTGCTGCTGCTGCTGCTGCTGCTGCTGCTGGCGCTGCTGTTGCTGCTGATGCTGCTGGTGGCGCTGCTGCCGGTGCTGCTTCTGCTGCTGGTGATGTCACTGCTGCTGCTGGTAACGCTGCGTCTGGGGTTGCTGATTCAGGTGCTGCTGCTGGTAACCTCTCAGGTTTTTCCGCCATGGGCCCTGGTGTTGGAGCTGGTAATTTTGGGATGGGGGGTTACAGTGGTTTTTCAGCGTTTGGCAATGGCAGCGGGCACTTGTCTTTTTTCGACAGCCCGTTCAGGTTCGGCACTCCCGCTCTCGCAGGGGCCGATTGTGGGACTGCTAATGCCTGGACGGCTGCCGTTGTGGCTGCTGCTGCTGGTGATCCTGGTGATGCCGCTGCTGGTTCTGCTGCTGCTGCTGGTGATCCTGGTGATGCCGCTGCTGGTTCTGCTGCTGCTGCTGGTGGTGGTACTGTCGCTGGTGTTGGTACTGCTGCTGCTGTTGGTACTGCTGCTGGTACTGGTGTTGGTGCTGGTGCTGGTGCTGGTGTTGGTGCTGGTGCCGCTGGTGCAGCCACTGGTGCTTCAGCCCGTGCTTTGCAGGCTGGTTCAAGGGGCCAGTTCCGAGGGAGCGAGTGCACTGCACAGGCCAGTGGCAGCATCAGTGAGAGTGGCAGTGAGCTGAGTTCTCCGTGCACTGTCACCACGCACACCCTCCCCACCGTCTCCAGGAGTGATGGTGCAGAGGCAGATGACGTGGCAGTCCGTTTTTCTGCAGGCAATAGCGCTGAGGCAGACCTTCCAGCACCCCACCTCCCACACCAGCAGAGATTGCTACGGCAGCCGCAACAGGGGCAGCAGCAGCATCTAACCGCTGCTGCAGCATCAGCGATTGCCTCAGACCGTTTTTCCATGCTCTCCTCTCCTCCTCTGCCGCCCGAGATGATGTCCGAACTCACTGAGCTGCTTCTACGCTCGGCAGTTGCCCAGCCTAGAGACTCAGGGTCGGCGCCGACAGGCTCGGAAGCAGGCTCGGCGCAGGCAGGCAGTGAAGGGAAGGATGGAGTGTTAACTGATTTTAGTGTAGGACAGATCACCAGACCGTTCCAGCAACCGTCATGGGCGACCAAGGCGCAGCAGCAGCAGAAGGATGGAGGAAAGGGAGTGAAACAGGTTCGGTCTCCGAAGCGGAGTAGAGGGGAGGGAGAGTTTGAGGGACTGATAATGATGGAAGCAGGTGCTGCTGCTGATGGGAGTTCCATGGAGGCAAGCCACTTGTCAATGGAGGGTGTGGTGGTTCGGCCCTTGTCCAAGAGAAGGAGCTTTGTTGCGGAGGAGATTGAGGATGGTTCGGTTGGTTTGAGTGCGGTGAAGGAGATTGCTGTGGGAGAGGAGGGAAATGTTGGGGAGAACTCGCAGCCTGATATTCTCAACATGCTGAAACAGATATTGGGGTGAAGGAGTACATGTGTGCCGGTGTTTCTGTGACCAAGTCCAATACGTGCTTGTTTCATCTTGTGTGCATATTCCTTTGTTTTCCTTGCGTTCACATCTTTTTCTGACCCCCTGTTTCTGGTTCGAATAGCTAAAGATCACATGTTTATGAAAACCCTTTGTATTCCCCATATTATTACTAATGAGCTAAACTTCAAACATCATGCCTAAACTCTCTGGCTGATTTGCAATTGTCTAAGAAT